TTAGTAAAGTCTACAGAATGTCTCTTCTCTAGAGATTTGTTGGAGAAATAACAAAATCTTGAGATGGAATCAAATATCTCTGCCTGATCTCGTGGGGTGGTAAAACTGCAATATTTTGTGTGCTGAAACCCCAAAAGAGTTTAGGAGAGCTCAGTATATATTTTTGCAGAGAACATAAATTGTTAGCATCACGTATGTGTTTATTGACTCTGTGCCATAGGTAACTCTATCTGTGGAGATTGCTTTGCTTAACTGATAAACCCAATTGCTTAACTTAGTTGTTCTGGATGCATAAATAAAAAGGAAAGGTGTTGTGAATAAGTTGTGATAAAATATTTCTCCTAGTAAAACAAAAGTTTTAATTGTATTAATTTTATTTTGAGCTAAGTATAGTTTTGTGTTCCTTGTATGAAAAAATAAAAGCACATTCCCATGAAGACATGAAGGCTAGTTGCTTTTTTATAGAAGGAAGTAATCAGAAAAGCAGGACATTTGAGTGGACAAGCTGAAATCTATTTGGTTCACTTCCTTACTGAGTAAACGCTGTTGGTACCAACTTATACCCCATGGAAGTACTTTTGTTCAAATGACTGCCCTTTGCTAACTAATCCACCCTTGCCAGTCCAGGACTTGGAATTTAACCTGTTACTGTCTCTTTAAGACGTTTAAACTTTACTCTCCATGTTTCCCCCAAAAGAGAAATGGCAGGACTGGTTTGCAGAAACACCACAGTTCAATGGGACACAGTCTGTCCTGGATGGGAATTCAGAGAGGCATGAGGTCATATCTGTGGTCAGGAAGCAGAAGGTGATGAATGCTGGCACTAAGCCAGCTCCCACCTTTTATGAAGTCTAAGACACTATGCAATGGTGACATCACCCACATTTGGGAAGACTTTTCCCACCTCAGTTAACCCAAGTTAGGAAATTCCTCTGCCATGCCAGAGACTTATCTCTACTCCGCAGTGACTCTAGATCCAATCTAGGTGACAATCAGTGTTAATAATCACATTAATATTTTAACATGTTGCTGTATTTGCCTTAAATAAATGGCCTACGTAAAGGAAGGGTTAAAAGTTCAGGTAAATTGCTGAATCTTCCTGAAGAAATATTTCCAGAAGTTGGCAGTGACCCTGGCTCTCCATGTTCATAAAACCAAAGAGTAATCATCTCTCTTGTATTATATTAACATTTCACACTAAACTCGTTGGAAGTTTCTTTCTCATGGATGCTAGAGATTGACCCCAGATTGCTAGATGTCCATTTCACATTGAGTTGTAATCCAATCCAGAAGTACTTTCTAAAAGTGAGAATAAACATTGAGTTGTTTCTGCAGGAGGACTCCCATGAGTTTGAGAACAGCTTGGCCTACTAATAGAGACTGTATTAATTTAAATTAATAATACGTAAATCAAAAACATAATATTGATTTTCTGCTGGTTTGACAAAGTATAATGACAGAGCAGCTTAAGGAAAAGAGGATTCATTTTGACTGATGTTTCCAGGAAAAAAAAAAAAAAAGAGTGTACACCATGGGAAGGAAGGCATGGCAATAAACAGAAAGTACAGTGATAAGAGCAGGAAGATCCCATATCCACCCCCACATAGAGAAGAGAGGGAGGGACAGAATGGGGGAAGGAAATAAGCTATAAAGCCTCAAAACCCACCCCCAGTTATGTACTTCCGTCAGCAAGGATCCACTTCCTAAGGCTACCAAATCGTCCTAGACCGGATATTAACCATGGCCACGTGGTCAACTAATCAAGCTGATGGGACATTTCCCATTCAAAATCCCTCAGAGACCTCGTCTCAAATAGCACAAAGAAAATATGCTTTGAAACTTGCCGTCCTGTCAATCAGTGGTATATGTTTATTTCAAACACCCATAAATGTAGATATATAAGGTATACCCACCATAATGAGTGAGAATCAGTAGATACACCTGTACATTCATTGGATTCCTTTCCCCCCATAAGACATATATGAGCATTTGCATATCGTTTGGGTATTATGCTTATTATTCGTTATTTACATAAATAGAATGCCATAATTATACTTTCAAATAACATGAGCTATTTGCGAGTAGGAAATAGGGGTGATTATGTACACGTATTTAACCTTTCATCTTAAACAGCGTATGTCTGTGCATAGCTGTACCTGGGACACCAAGTAGCAGGCAACCAGAGTCACGTAGTCGTTGGGGGAATAAATAGCAAGTTCAGGAATCTTGATACACTAGTAGAAATGAAAAATGACAGACGCATAAGCTTTTATCTGCATCGTAGAGATTCAATGAATTGACACTGTACAGTTTTATTCAAGATTTTTAAAACAAATGCCAAATAGTCACATTTAAATTCTAGATATCCAAGCTGGCATTGTCATGCCAGTGTGGACGTTTTATGAGTTATGACACCGTCAACTTGTCCTGTTCCTTTGGTGCTCACACCCTTCCCTAGAACACCCACGTCTGTTGCCAAACTGTGTCTTTCTCTTTCTCTTGTTACACTAACCTTCCTCCTTCTCCTCTTGAGTTGTGGAATTGTGAAGCAGAAATTGAGTCTCTCTTCTTTCATTTATGCACAGTGCTCTACATAGAATCTACTTACCTTTCTTTTCTTCAGCCTTCTCTTTCACTTTCTCTAACAGAAAAATAACATGTGGTCTAGATTGTTTTTTTCAAGTCACAAAAATTTCAAAAAATATATTCCTACCTTTAAAAATATTCATTCTATCGTGTGTGTGTGTGTGCGTGTGTGAGTGTGTGTGTGTGTGTGCGTGTGTGTGTGTGCGCGCGCGTGCATGTATGTCCTACTACATGTTGGTTGGTGATGGTGAGGGTCACAGGGAGGGGTCAAATTCTGCAGCTACAGTTAGAGGCTGTTGTGAGCAGCCTAGTGTGAGTGCCAAGAACCAAACTCAGGTGATTTGGAAAACCAGCAAGTATTCTTAGCTTCTGAGCCATATCTCTGGCTCTCCTATTTCATTTTTTTAAACAATAGATACAAATACTACATCAACATATAGTCAGTTGTATTGAGATACTCTTGCATCGTTCCTTATGATAAACCTTCATAGCACTGTGCACATTTTTCACTTAAAGCACATGGTAATCTAGCCAGTGTTAGTACATATTTGGCAGTGGGTGTCCAATGGCCACTACATTGAACAGCTCAACCCTAGGTTATGAAAAACAACGCATTAATATAAGTCTAAAGTAATATAGAAGCTATATACAAGAATGACAGCCCTAAGTTCTCAGTTAAAAATTAAAGAGGGGCTCGAGAGATGGCTCAGTAGCTAAGAGCACCGGCTGCTCTCCCAAAAGGCCTAGCACTGAAATGGTAACTCACAACCATTTGTAAATCTAATTCCAGGGGATTTGATGCCCTCTTCTGACCTCCATGGGCACCCAGAATGAACAGGACACACAGATAAAACACCCATACACATAAAAACAAATAATCTTTTTAAAAATTATAGATAGTTTATAACATGTTGACAGTGTGATGTACTTGTCTGACACTGTTAGAAACAGATATTCCCGGATTTTAGTAAACTATCAGTGTAAAGGCCCCAAATGACTGCATGAAGTTTTCCTTTTGGTAACCCTTCATGTATTGAACCAAGATCCTTTGAAAGGAATACATTAATACAGTGCATCCAGTTTCCTAACTATCGGTCAGAGGTACTGAAATTTACAGCTATAATGAAGAAGCCCAGAGGATTAAAAACAAATTCTTAAAAAAGAAAAGAAAAAGGAATCCTATAGTAACCAGAAGCCTCCTTTTGAAAATGTCAACTATGTTGTTTATGTCTAAGATGGCGCACCCATCTCTTCCTTCACTAGCAGCATTGACTAGTCATTGCGATTCCCCCAGAGAGAACTGCTTTTCTTAGCCTTCTCTCTTGCTGTTTAAATGTTTCTTTACTCTTTTCTTTCATTTTTCTCTACAATAGCAAAAGCCAATAAAAAGTTCAGATGATTTAAAATTTGTCTGACAAATCACAACAGCAATTTGGGAAACACTTTAGTGTCTTGTTTAATTCACATAAATTTTATAAGCATGAAGTATTATTTCAACATATTGTCAAAATTTCTAGAGATACAGAAGTCTTTCATTTCACTGAAGAATCAATTCTTATCTTATATGGCATGTTTTGAAATGAAAAGTAATTTTGACCATCACGTAGTTTATATTTGGAAAGTAATTTACAGGGGAAATATTCTGAGAAATAGAAAGAAACAAAGCCAATACATACTCATAAAATGTAAAATCTTTCTATATTTACTTTTCTTTTTGGTGTATAATCTGTATTCTTTTATATAATTATATAATTAATTGTTATATATGACATTTTATTATTCTCTACTATAATTATATAATATTATAAAGTAATTTAGACAAAATTTTCTTGTTAATCCTTTGATGTATATATTAATATGTCAGTTTTAAGGAAAACAGTATTTAATTCCAGATAGTTTAAGTTTAATTGCCATACCTAATATAATAGAGCTGGTAAATATGTCTTGAAAACCCATGTTGTTTCCACAACATCACTTTGCTTACTAGATAAAATAGTTCTCACATAGACATTATGGCATCAATCAGCCCATCCCAAAGCATGTTGATGTGGCTGGCTACAAACACATATAGAGTATCCTTTACTGTATTTTAATATGCCCATTCCACAGCTAATCATTTTCTACATTAAAGCATTTAAAATTATAATTTGTTGTCAAATATAGCTGGATATGCATATCTTCTTTCAGTATTCATTTAACAGAGTAACAGATGTATATATAACATACAAATATTCATATGAACATATGTATGGATGAACACAATGCATTGCATATACTCACAATTCACCATTCACCAAACTATATCGGACTAAGTGTTTAAAAATACAGCAATGAAGTCATTGAGGAAGCATGCCACTACACATTTTGAAGAATTTTGTGAAGATATAATTGTGTTTATCCTTTTTCTTCTTCAGGGATCACTGTTTAGGGAGCCACAAAATATTTCAGAAAAGTAAATCTGTTTTACAACTTCTTCTTCAGAAAAACAGTGATGTTCCAGGAAAGTTGTCTCGGAAGGTAAGATTTATGAGTGTGGGTTTCAATGTGGCACATTGACACATTTAGGAAATGTAGTTCTATCTCGATGGCTTGCTGCCAATTTGGAATTACTTAGCTTAATGAGCAGGTGTTTATTTCAGTTATTAAAACATGGTGAAGTATTTTCATAAAATTCCTTGACAATCCAGACTGAAACAATAACATGAACTTGTAACTTCAGCTCTCCTGTGATGAACTGGAAATTTGTCTCATACACCCCAAAATTTCTAAGTTGAAGACTTAACCTTTGAGGGCAAGGATTGAGGAGACAGTGTCGAATGGTGCACACTTAAATTTAGAAGAGATCACAGAGCAGGGTTCTTATCAAATCGATGCCCGAATAAGAGGTTAGATGCCCCTATTGTAATACAGCCCAGAAGCAGCTGTCTACAATTAAGGCAGATGTCACCCGTGAACTTGAACCTCTTGGACTCTATAACGATAAAAAGTAAGTGTCTGTTGTTTTAACACACACCCACTCTGTGGTACTTACGCTACTGTTCGGCTATAGCATCCCAGGATGACTAGTCGCTCAGCCTCACAACAAGCCTATTGGTTTCTTAAGAAAATAGTTTATGAGAGACCTGTTGAAGCCATGATAGGCATGCTTCTACATAATCACCCAGAAACAAAAGGAAATGCAAATATAAATGAGAGCCCACTGATGGCAGAAAAAAAAAAAAAAACCCACAAGTCTTGTCCTGTTTGCAGAATATTTGTGCCCCTGTCAATGTAGCTTAGGTCCAACCAGATTAATATTCATAGCTGCATATAATAATCTACCAAGAAAGAAAGGGATGAGGGATGAGTGTACATTAATGATACAATTTCATGCTGCTAGATGTGAATCTTATTCCCCGTGTGGTGTCTTGAGATACTCCCAACCAAAACTTTACAATGTGCATGAACTTTGCTATTTTGTCAATTTTCATCTACAGAATCTTCCAATTACCTGCTTTAAGCAAAAATCCCTGTGTCCTGTCATTTCAATCAGATAACAGATTTCTAGCGTGTGATTTTTTTTAATATATAGTATGAGGTGTTTCATCATAAAAATAAATGTCAGATAGCACATCAGTTTGCAACATATCTATGTCGACTGTAACATAATGAGGCCAAAAGAGAGTTGTTTAGAAATTTCTCCCGGATCCAGCTTCTGGCTCAGCCATTGTTGACAGATCTGGGACTAAGCATCTGAAATCTAGGCAGAGTAAAATCACAAAGGCCAACAGATATCTCAACGCTAATAAGCTTATGTTCCTTCTAATCAGCCTCAATGTTGCCAAAAGAGCTGAAATCATGATATTTTATTGCTATCTAGGGGAGGAATAAGAAATGTGTGACTCTAATTCACATGTTGATAGAACAATTTTTGGACTGGTATAGCAGTTCACAAATCGTTATTAGTGCTTCAGTCTCACAGAAATTAAAGTTCACAGTATTTGGAGAGGTGGGTCAGTGACTAAAAATCCTTGCTACTGTTGCACAGGATGAGAGTTCAGTCCCCAGTCCCCAGAGCTAGTGGCTGACAAGTGACCATTACTCCAGCTCCAGGGGATCCAGTGCCCCCTTCTGGCCACCACAAGCATCTGCAGTCACGTGCACATACTTACATATATAGTCACACATGCATAAACTTCATTAAGAACTGGAAATCTTCAATGAAAGATCTATCTTAAGCTCAAACAATTCTAATACATTGACATAATTTACATAAATCATGTTTATATTTATCTAAAAACACTTAATATTCACCTCTGTTAATCAAATACTAACAGAAAAGGCACCCATTGCAGTTACCTCAGGGTCCACAGATGGAACTGGTGCTCTTAGATCTGAGCCAAGCCATGAAACTTGAGAGCTTTTACACCATCCCACTGACATACATAGGAGAAAGGCATTGATTTACATACCACTCCAAGTTCAGATTTGCGATAAAGGATAACTGGTCAAAATATTCAGTGTGTGTGTGTGTGTGTGTGTGTGTGTGTGTGTGTGTGCGTGTGTTTGTCAAACTAGGGTCGCCTGAGAAGAGGGATCCTAAAACTAAGAACTCTCTATCAGGTTAACCGGTGAGCACATCTGTGGCTCATTTTCTTAATGATGGTTGACAGCCGAGGTCCTAGCCCATTTAGGGGAGTGGGCCAGCAATTATACAAGAAAGCTGGCCGAGCAAGCTACCATGGGAACAGAGCCAGTAAGCAGAGTCCTTCTGTCATGGTTTACCCGAGGCCCCTGCCTTGTCTTCTGTCGGTGATGGACTGTGAAATGGAAGATAAGCCTTTCCCCCACACTCTGCTTTTGGTCAGAGTCTCACCGCAGTGACAGAGAAACTAAGTAGGACAATGTGTCTTTTCATTTACTTAACTGTGTTTTCTCACAGCTATGTCCACCCTGCCCAAAGCCCGGGACACCCTAGGGATTTAATGACAAATCGGTTCTGGGTATGTACAGTAGATTTCAGGTACTGACTGCAGCTTTTAGAGAATTAAATAGGTGAATTGGGAAAAGGCGGGTGATAAGTGCTGTTGTCTCCATATCATCTGTAATCAGAGTGCCAAGTGGTTAAGAAATTAATTAGATGGTTCACAGCCTCATGGTCCATAAAAAAGGAAAGGCAGCTTCCAGTGAAAGCAGGCTCGTTATTGGACTCATCAAGAAGGAATGCGTCTTTGCCATCGTGGCTGTTGTCGTGTTCAGACAGAAGCACGTAGCCGAGTTGAGGTGCACAGTCTCACAGTCTGCAGCTGCCACAGTAAATCCCCCTTCTCATCATGAGATTCCAGTCATGGGACAATTGAGTCCCTGACTCTTTTAATGCTCCATTATAGCTTTACTCTTTTTTTTTTGGTGATATTTGTTTTTAAATTTAAAACAAGCTTGTTTTATATGTCAATCCTGCACCCTCCTGTCCTTGCCTGTTCCCCCCACCAATGCCCACCCAATCCCTTTCTGTCCCCCAAGGAGCAGACTCCCATGGGGAGTCTTCAAAGTCTGTCATATCATTTGGAGCAGGGCCCAGACCCTTCCCATGTGTCTAGGCTGAGAGAGTATCCCTCTATATGGAATGGGCTCCTAAAGTCCATTCGTATACTAGGGATAAATACTGATCCATTACCAGAAACCCCATAAACTGCCCAGTCCTCCTATCTAACATCCACATTCAGGGGTCTGGGTCGGTCCTATGCTGGTTTCCCAGCTATCAGACTGGAATCCATGAGCTCCCCCTTGTTCAGGTCAGCTGTCTCTGTGGGTTTCTTCAGCCTGGTCTTGACCCCTTTGCTCATCACTCCTCCCTTCTCTGCAACTGGATTCCAGAAATTTAGCACAGTGTTTAGCTGTGGGTATCTGCTTCTGCTTCCATCAGTTACTAAACTCTTGAATCTTTACTTCAGGCAATAAACATCATCAACTCATGGCTAGTTCCAGAAGGATGGGAGAAGGGTAAAAATAATATTTGTTTTCCTCAAAGTGGTGCTGTTGTTTAGAAATATATAACAGATGGCTCTCTGTGAATTCAGGACCAGCCTGATCTGGATAGGGAGTTCCTAGTCACCCAACATATATCGTGAGACCCTGTTTTAATAAAAAATAAAAGGTTAAAAAAAATAAAAACAGACAGTGTGACTAAAGGCAAAGACATGGTGAATCCTCTGTTCTTTCCATGAGTATTCACTATGTCATTTCTGTTTAGAAGTCCCCATGCTCCTGAATAGAACAGTGAACAAGAGTGACAAGATGCCTACTCAATGGAAGAGAGTATAAGGGGAGTCAGCTGCCCTACCTCCCTGTGAGAACCATGGTAACTTTCACAAGGAGTATGAGAAAGATGCTCAGGGTTTCGAGCTCTCTAAACCTGGTCTTTCAGGAAATGCCCAGTATCACTTTGCAGAAGAGAAGACATGACATTTAAAAGAATTAATAGTGTCTGAACAAGTGAGAAAGGGCACACTCAAGATCTAAACTGCAGAAATCACAATGCTAGGGAGCGAGCAAGTCTGTGGTCTGGAAATCCCTTTCAAGACTAGGACTCCAGGGATCTAACGTCTCCAACCATGACCCACTTTTTAAAGGCTCTTGCCCACACCAAATAGCCCCAACCTGGAGATCAAGCCTTCAGCATATGGGCCTGTGAGAAATATTCACAACCTAAACTACAGAAATGGTGTTAATCAAAATATCAACAGTTTTGATATATCACAATTTTGTTGTTAACTTTCAATACTCATTAAGTATATTCTCAATGGCAAGTCCTATATATATGACCAAAAATAAAATACTGCGATGATAGTTATTGCATTGGTTACTTTTCTATTGCCCTGACAAAACACCATGGCCACAGCCGCTTGCAAAACAAAGCATTTAATTGGGGGCTCACAGCCCCTGGGGCTCACAGTCAATGACCAACCCAGCAAGAGGGGCAGACAGGCGAGGTTCTGCTGTAGTGTTTGGGAGCTTAGCTTGTGTCTGATCCACAAGCAGCGGGGATGCAGAGCACTATCTTGGAATGGTGTAGGGTTTTTAAACCTCAAAGCCCATGCCCATTGAGTGAAATAACTCCTGCAATAAGACCACACCTCCTAATCCCGCCCAAACAGATCCACCATCTGGTGACTGTGCACTCGAATGTATCTTCATCCAGACCACCAGAGTCACTGCCACAGTTAGCTTCAGCTCTCAACTTGGCATAATCTGGTAAAGGGGAACCTCGTCTGAGAAATTACTCCCATTAGGCTGGCCTGTGTGTACGTCTATGGGGCATTTTCTTGACCAGTAGTTGATATGGAAGAGTACAACCCATCGTGGGCAAGATTGTCCATGGGAAAATGAGCCTGGCCTGTTGAAAAAAAAAATCAGCAAGCCGGTAAGCAGCATTCCTGTATGGTCCTTGCTTCAATTCCTGCCTCTTGGTTTCTGCCTTAAATTCCTGCCTTGCCTTCCTTCAATGATGTAACCCACAAGCCAAATGAAAGATTTTTAGTTTGCAGAGCAAGGATGTAGGAAAGGGATAGGAGAATAATTCTTGCAAGCAGAATATAGAAAATCATAAAGAATGGACATTGACCTGGGAGGAAAGAACAGGAATTATGAGAACAAGAAAGGTTACTATGGTGATGGGGCTAGTGGTTATATGCTAGACTGATCTTGTTAAATAGGGCTAGTTACTGAATCATCAAACCTTTGTGGAATAACTGAAGGCTCTAAATGTACAGCCAAGAGAAAGCCAGAGTATGAAAGAATTTTCTCACAGGTCTTGGCCCACAACAAGGAAATAGGCCCCCAACCCTGGAACAAATGGTCCCAGATGAACAGTCCTGTCTAGGTCATACCTGGCCAACAGACAAGTCTGGAGACTTTCCAAGTCATTCTATGGTTTTTCCTTTGAATAAGAGCAGGTCATACCTGGGTGATCTCTCAAACATGAGATCATACTTTCTAATCAATCTCCTTGTGTCCCATGCATGTCTGCTGATTTGCGGTTTGTCTCTATAAAAAAAGAGCCTGAACCCTTTGAGGGGTGTGCAGCTTTCCCCGAGATTGCTGACACCCGAGTGCACTCGTTCAGTAAATGCCTCTTGCTTGTTGCATCTCCTGGTTTTGGTGTTTGTGTCGCTGGGCTCTGCCATCGGCCCATCAGGACCCTAAAATTAGGGTCTTACAAGATATACCTTTTCCTCCCCAAGTTACTTTTGGTCAAGGTATTTTAACCACATGAACAGAGGGCAAACTAAAATAGCTACTTCCATTTTAACACAAGTTTAACAAAGTTTTTCTTCTTGGAGACATGTGGAGTACTGATCAATTTAATACAACTGTCATAGCTTATCACCTTGTACTTCTTTATTACTTGAATTACTATACTTTAAGTGTATTTTTAAGTCTTCATAAACAGTGAATGTTCTTTCTTAATTCTACTTTTAAAGTGATACCAAATTCTCTTTGATTTCCAGAATTTCAGTTGTAAAAATGTATGAATGATGTATTTAGTTAGCTTTCTGCATTACAGCAGGAATATAACCATTGTTATCACTTGACTAAATGTATTGGACTTGTTATCTTTCGGCAATTACCTTAATGCTTTTCAATTGTGCAAAGCCTTATGAGGCTCAATTCATCTCGATGTTGTGATTTTCCAGAAAGCAACCTAATGATCTTCAAAAATCAACGTAGATTTCAAATTTGTAATGCTCACACCACAATGAAATACAATGTAAATAACCGAATATCTTTCTTTTAACATGTCATTTTTCTTTAAACTTCTTTTAAATATGATCAAATGTGCTGTCAAAATTGCATAAGCTAATCACAGAAACATGATTTCCCTCTAGCTCAAAGGGCACTCCCAGACCAGTAACAATAATGGAGTCTTTTCAAGACAAGATCTTACCATGTAGCCCACACTGACTCCAACTCATAATCCTCCTGCTTTAATCTCTCAAATTCTGAGATCACAAGCCTTCACAACAGACCTGGTTCAGTAATAGATTTCCAATGAGAGAGAAAAAAATTAATTTGTTTTTCCTCAAGACAAAAATACTAAACCAACTTTAGAGAAAATAATGTGTGCAATGTATTCCATGGCAGCTGAAGGTTCTCCGTATCCTTTCTAGATATTTTTAAAAGTTTTTCTAGGGAACCATGGAGATGGCTCAGTGGTTAAGGGCAATGCCTGCTGTTGCAGAGGACTTGGATTCAGTTCCCTGTACCCACAAAGCAACTCACAATCTTCTGCCACTTCAGTTCTATGGATTCAGCGTAGTCTACTATCTGCAGCCATTGCAAGCCTATGATGCACATATGAGCAAGCAGGCTAACACCATACATCCAAAATAAATAAATATTTGAAATAAGCATTCGTGATAAATGACAACAAGACAAAGACTAATTTACTCCCCCCTCAAAAAACATGTCTTGAGGGAAATAAAATTATTTTTCAGTAAATGTGAGTATTAAATATGGAGACATGCAAATAAAACTATCTCATAAAATGTTATTTATATGCTTGCTTTGAATTAACTTCTATGAAAATTGAAGTTCTTCGTGTTACAACTTAGCTACATTAGTTATCTAATGTTATGTCTTAAAACATTAGTCATTTGGCACACACACACACACACACACACACACACACACACACACACACACACACACATGCACCCACGCACACCTAAACTCTTTTTTTCAGTAAGTATTCTTGCAAATTGCATGTCCTTCATTGTAATGTCATTGGTTGACCACACGAGGGCAACAAATACAACTGTCTCTCTTTTGCTTTCCCCCAACTTTGTAATTTCCCTTCTTTTATGAAATTATATAGAGTTAAACTTCAACTTTCTCTATTCCCAAAGGTAAAACGATATCAGTGCCACAATTTCTGTCATAGTCACCCTGGGGTCTCTAATGTAAATTCCTCTCAGCATTTCTGCACCGTTGCTAACAGCATGCTCTCTAACTATTTGTGGTATAATGCTGACCTCTCTTTCCATGTCACCTCGCTTCTTTTTAACCTACTCACAAAACCAGGCAACATAAAAATGAATCCATCTTTGATATGCAGCAACATCTAGGACTTTCTTCTGATATTTTCTGTGAGGAACATGGGCAGTTTGAAAAATAGGGTGTATGAGCTCCAAGCACTTAAAACACAGACTACAAGAAATAACTTTCAACAGTGAAACTTGTTACCCTCATATGGCCCACAATGCCATTACGAGAAAGAATAGGGACTTTGAGCACTTGTGCTTAGGAGTTGCAGAGTTGCACAAATATTTACTGGGAAAGAGGCTGGAATCAAGGGTGTGTGTGTGTGTGTGTGTGTGTGTGTGTGTGTGTGTTGTGTGCATATGTATGTGTGTGCATATGCCTGTGTATAGGAGCCAGAAGACTAATGCTTTAAGGCAGACACTTTTGACAATGTGAAGAAAACTAATTGCCAGAAAAATAACTCCTGGAATCTATAGTTACCAATAGCTGTAATTTATTTGGCTACATGAGTTGGCTTCCTTACACTTCAGAAGCAGGACATGGTAAAGCCAAAAAAAAAAAAAAAAATGGAATCAATTAGGTATCTTCCATTAGATCATCTAGCAAGTTAGATGTCACACTGCCGTGGCTTGGTGTGTCCACTGAAGAAAAAAGGGAGAGGGAGGAAAAGGAAGAGAAGTCAAAAGGGAGGGAGAGAGAGAATGGAAAGGGAAGAGGAAAGCAGGCAAATTGGTCCCCAAAGCCTTCCTGTGGTGATGGTTTTGCTTATGACATAACAAATAAAGCTTGCCTGAAGATCGGAGTGGAAAGCTAGACACGCTTGCTAGCCACAGAGGCCAGGAAGGGTGACATTCACCTTTAATCCCAGCAGTTATACTAGTTAGCCATAGAGGCCAGGCAGTGGTGGCCACACCTTTTTAATCCCAGCCCTCTGGAGACAGAGGCAGACAGGTCTCGGTGAGTTCAAGGTCATTTTGAGCTACATTAGAGTGAATCAGTCTAAAAGAGAAACAGAGCTCACATCTTTAATCCCAGCACTCGAGATGATACTCCTTCAATCCCGGTACTAGGGAGGTGGAGACAGGAGCCATGTTGCTGGAGAGAGGGAGGAATGTAAGGTAGGAGGAGACAGGAACTCATTGCATGTGAGGTCTGGTGGAGAGCAGGAGGCTTGAACAGCAGTGTAGTAGGGACCTGCCTGAAGTTTGGAGGCCCCTTCGGTCTGAGCAGAGGTAAGAAGAGTGGCTGGCCGCTTCTCTTCTCTGATCTTAACCCCAACATCTGACTCTGGATTTTTATTATTCAAGCTACTTCTCCTTATTAGGAGCAATGACTGTTTCACCTGGGTGATACCCAGATGTTTTCCCAGTATCCTCTGGGTTTATCCTCATCCAAGGCTCAGGTTCCTGTTCACTTGGAAGGAGAGCTCACACAGTTAAGGAAAACAGTGGAAGTTATTTAGAACAGAGTATAAAAATGACAAACAGAGGTCATCAAAAGAGGTGAACGAAATGGCAGCACAAAGCTACAGATCTATTTTTATCTGCTCCTCATTCCTATTCACTCCATAAATATTAATATGTTCTTCTGTCTACAGAGTGGAGATGACCACAGTCTGTTTCATCTGAACCAGCTCCTAGAGTTTACACATATTTGGAAAGTATCCAGGTAAGGTGTTTTATTTCTCGATATCCTCTCGGTCAGCTGTAAACACTGTCCCCTCCCTGGTCACATTACTGCATACCTCCCCTTGCCACGCTCTGTTAAAACTTATCTAGGCTTCACAGCTACTCAGATGTGCTTGAGGGATTATGTGACTTTCGTTTTGAAATACCTCTGCTGTTGGTTATGACTCTCCCAGGATTTTTTTTTTCCTTATTCATTTTGTGAATTTGGGTATTCGTGTAACTCAGCTCATGGTAGAACTCAATTTCCACACCTTCAAAGTCACCATCACCTGTGTAAAATTCTTCTGGACCTCCCTGCTGTAATTGGTATGTCATACGCAGAGGAGAGTGAATTCCAATTGGAAAACTCGAGTGACAGAATATGGGTGCCTGTGTGGTTTAGAACAGGCAGTAAAACGGAAGTCACCGGGGCTATGGTTTGGTTTTCTCTGGAATTAAATTATTCTGAGCAGAACCAGGAAGAGCCTGTGGTGTGGGAGGTGTAACTCTGGTGTGTGTGTGTGTGTGGGGGGGGTGATGGCATAAGTCCTAAAGCAAAGCCCTGCTATGGAGATTCTTAAATTGGCTTGTGGAATATTAATAGCATTCATCACCTTGTGAAGCTATTGTACAATTTGCAAGCATTTTATCACCTAAATCTTTCAGTGCTGTGAGGGCCCATCTTATCTGCTTCAGAATCAAGGAAGCAGAGGCTCTGAGAGGTCAGATAATGGACCCCAGGCTCCCAAGTCACTGTTAGCATGAGTGCTGAATGCAGGCACGATGGAATCTCCCGGAGCTACGTCTTTTGCATTAAACCATTGTGACTTTATATTGGCCTTCCCCCACAACCCCAGTACCAGGCACAAAGCATCTAGGCTCGCTCTGTACCATCACAAAGTGGTTAGGACTTAAAAGGGGTCCCAAGATCATCCAATCCAAATTTTCTTCTTCACAGATAGTTACAAGGACCACATACAGGTTGTTGGCAGTATTAACTGAGGCTGCAGCTTCATTTACTACAAAATAAATCTGTTCCCAGTTTGTGGAGAAACAAACCCCGAAGGGGGCGAGATGGAAGAAAGGCAGAGAGAGAGCAAAACCAACAAGTGATTGTGTAAACGGGAAATGTCTGGGAGAGGACGTGTTACTTCCACCTGGGTTGTTTGAAGGTTGGGACTTGGGCCTGGCTCGTGGGGCACAGAATGAAGAAGCAGAGGCTGTGAGAAATGGCCCCAAAGGTGACACCCTCCTATTCTTGCCTCACAGCTGCCACCACGTATCCCTCACCCATCAGATGCCCTTAGCTGCCATGCATAGGTGCCCAAGGGTGGATCAGAGCAAAACAAAAGTCCTCCAGCAATAAATGGGAGAGGACATCTAACAGGGATGGCCTAGGTTCAGATTAAAATCCTCTACTTTATAGCTTTATCCTGAGAGAGGCAGGCAAAATCTGGGTAGGCTGGAGGAGATGCCACACTCCAGTACGCCTCCTCTAAAAACAGTGACGTTTAAGACAAAAACAGCAACAACAGCACAGACCACATAGACGCAGAGCCACTGACATGAGCAGAGCCAAGTCTAGCTTTGTTTCAGTGTGTGCTTCTATTTCCATCACATGCCAACCCATCAGTCCTCAGTGTTACCCGCTGCAGGGTTGCTTCCCAGCCTCCCGATAGCCATTGCAGTCTTAGCTCTCTGGGAGACAGTGTTTTCCTTCACGTCTTCATAGACTCAAACGCCAAGCTCTGCCAGCTCAGGAGTCCACACCTGTCATGCCAACACTCAGGAAGAGGTGGATGGGGCAGGGATCCAGAAAACTACAAGTGTTATGCCATGCTGGACTACACACCAAAATCCCCTCTCAACAAAACATAAACAACACAGGACCAGGCCCTTGATGACTAGAATAATGACAGGGGCTTTCCATTAGGGCATTTACCTTCTATGGTTCATCTATTTCTTACAAGTTGAGAAAATTATTGACCATCAATATTTTCAATTAGTTTTTTTCTCTAAGATATATGTATATATTAACAGACAAAGTGAAGGAATAGATGTATCCCCTTATGTCTTTTTAGCATTGGGAACAGATTTTATGTAAAAACACACTATTATTTTCTTACCACTCTGCTGACTTATATAGACTTTATGTATTTTGTCTTAGAACTGACAGCTAAAGTGATAATGTGATAATGCCCGAGAAAGAAGCTACTGTAAAATACATTAATGGGTTTTCTGTGTAGGTTTTTGTCTTTATAACTCATTATTCAATTCAGTTCAGGAATTTCAGGGCAAATAAGGAGATAAAGTTAATAATGTTTTGGAAAGTGCTCTGAACAGCAAAGCTGTCAGGAATCTCTGCTCCAATCACATACACCCCACTAAACACAGATAAAGCTGGAACATGTGGGAAAGAAATAATGGAGTAATCTGTTGCTAAAGACAACCCCATCCATCATAAATACCTGCCCAGTGGTTTTTTGAGGCGGCATATTTAATATTTCTTAATACTAACATTTGCTGCTACCTGCTTATGATTTACATTTGGATTTTGTAGAGCAAACTATTTCTCCTCTGGTCTTACATCAACACAGAAGGTTCTGTGGCCCTAAGAGATGTGAAGAATTCACTCTGTTGCTCTACTAACAAGCAAGAGTTCAGTTTTGCAGTAGACTCTGTGTCCTCCAATTCAGTGTTGGCAAGGTCTACTTTGAGGTAGTGCCACAAGGAACATACAAGGAGGGCTCAGAACCCTCTGGAGACTCCCTGACTACCTTTCAGATGCTAATTATCACTGGTGCCTGTGATCAACCAGCTCTTAACTGAGGTTTTATAATCCTTTGGGGTTCATGATGGCTTGAGCGATTCAAAGGTACATGTTGATACTTATAAAACATTACAGAGGTCAGGGATGGGATAATTTAAAAGCACAAGAAAGGAAGCAGAGACCCCAGCTCTCTGTAGGCACACCGCTCTCCAAGAAGTCCCCTGTGGTCAGCCATCTGGAAGCTTCGCAAACATTGACCCCGTTGGACTTTCAAAGACCTTCATTATGTATGCGTGATAGAGCAAGTTGCTGGCTGTATTAGCTGTTTTCCTAGCTACTGTGATAACATACAATGACACAGACAACTTAATTTGAGTGTACAGTAATTATGGCAGAGATGTCAAGGCAACAGGAGCTTGATGTAGCTGAATATTTACCTCTGTGTTCAGAAAGAATCAAAAGATGAATGTTAGCGCAGGACCGAAGCCTGAGAAATGATACTTCCAGGGTGGATCATTCCATTCTGGTTAACTTAAATCAAGATAATCCCCCCCAGACAGGGCCAGAGGCAGAGGGTAGCCTAATATAAACAATTCCTCGGAAGCAGTCTAGAGGTGAATTTCCTAGGTGATTCCAGATCCTGTCAAGCTGACTATTAACACTACCCTACTGGTCTTTGATGACTAATCTTCAACCACCAGAAATTGTGGAAAGGCATAGCACTAATCTTACCAGATGTTTCCAGCAACCAGCTCCTACATCACAGAGACATGGGACTGGTAACATAAGAGAAAAGGAATTTACTTCAGCTCACAATTTAAGGTTATAGTCCATCAATATGGAATCACAACAATGGGGCTTAGGCAGATCGTCACATTGCATACACAGCAAAGATGTGGAGAGGGAGGATGAAGATGTGTCCATGCTCAGTTCCTCCTCTGCATCTTATATAATCCAGCATCTCCTTCCCATGCAATGGACCCACCCACAGTGGGCAATTCTTTGTATCTCAATTAAACCTAAATCAAAAGACACCCAGGAGACTTTGTTTTCAAAATAGAATTTATATTCTGCCAAGTTGGTGGTTAACACTAACAATCACACCTTTTAAAGTATGATCTATGCACCTTGTGGGAATGGTGGGCTTGTGAAAATCTTTACAACTTTAAATATGTTTTAAGGGATAATGGGCCAAGTGTGATAGGCTATGGGGAATTGATGTAAGAACTCTCTGAATTAGTTCTGAAATTCTATGAAAATAAAATAATTTCACGGTAAAAATTTTAAGTCATGTCAAGTAATGTTTATATTCTGACTAATAGAGAATCTTGGAAAAATTAGAACTCATGATAAATGTCTGTGCTGAAGATGTGATGTTAATTTTCTACTCAAATTTAATCAAATTTTTGGTTTTATCTTTGTAGACAATGCCTCTTCACAGTAATAAAGAAATATGACTTCCAGGTCAAACTCCTATTGAAAAACCAGGTATTGGCTTCCATAACTTTAGCCATCTATTCAATGAACATTTGTTAAACATCTCCTATGTTTTTTTAAAGGGTGGCAAATTTCTTAAGAAATTGAGATGAATAAAGCAGTCTGTTAGTATTCAGGCATCTCTACTGGCCTGTCCTTGGGGTTCTGACAGGATACACCCTCAGCTGCAGCCACTAAGAGCAACCACCTGTGCACATTCACTATGTTCCCTTTTACAAGGGCCCTGCCCAACCTCCCATCCTTCTCTCTCTCTCTCTCTTTCTCTCCCTCTCTGTCTCCCTCTTTCCTCTCTTCTTCTGTTCCTGTATCAGGTTGCTGGTTTCCCCTTTTTATGATCCCTTTCCATAATTAAAAAAAAAAAAAAAAACCCTCCTCCGCTTGATCTCTGTCATATGCCTTTTTTCTCTTGAGGGCTGCTTTTCTTAAATTGCATCAGAGTCCACATTTCAAGGGGATTTCCATCCACCACGGGTATATAGATAAAGTGAAGGGAATATGCAATAAAATGCCATATATTCACACACAGAACATGCCGAAAAGGACAATAAACATCACACATTTCAACTGTTTGTTGCAGTCTGAGTATGTGTTTCTTGGTCAGAGGAAAATGGTGGACAGTGGGGAAAATATTTGGCAAAGTGGGGGGAATGGGATGGGAGAGTGCTGGGGGGGCATGGCAGGCTGGGAGAGAGGGAGGGAGGCAGGGAGAGAGGCAAGGTGGATAGAGGGAGGGAGGGAGGGAGGCAGGAAGGAGGGAGAGGAGGGAGGGGACTGGGATCGGTATGTAAAATAAGAAAATGAATAAATGAAAATAGAAACAGAAACAGTGAACTGAGAAACAAGCTAGTGTGGTTGGGGAAACTATACTAAACTTAGCATAACTTCAGTCAGGTTCAGGGGAGGCTGGCAAGAGTTATATAGATACTTCGGGATCATATGTAACCAACCTAATGAAATTTTGATTGATCAGCAAATGCCGGGGCCATTGCTGACACTGATGGGTGATTAGAGAGGCGTCCCATGAGTCCAAAGCGATAATGAAGGCCCGTTCCAGCATCATATTGAAAGATGGAGGTGAGGGGAAATGTGGTATTTGCATGAATAGGTGAAAGACTCAGCAAACCTAAAATGGCTGCAGCAGACTGCATGGGGAGATCAATTCCATAGAACAATGGTAGGAGGAGAAGATGTCTCAGCAGGAGAGACTGTCCAAGACTACTAAAATCCCCGCACCTGCTGGGCCTCCAGGTTTTGGTCTCCATTAGGCAGATCATTTCTGAGAGCTGCTTTTAGGAAAAGGCTGGTCTTTCCAAAGTAAGGCACCATGCTATCTCCCACAAGGCAGTGTAAATCAGAATCTAACTGAGCCGATGAGGACTTCTTTTCTCATGGATCAGTAGGATCAACAGGTCCATGGAAAGAGGAAGCTCTCAGGCAACTGACTACTCCTAATAGAAATGAACATGGTTTTATTAGGGATGCAGATAAATGTGAATTCTGTACAAATAATTAACAACATGAGGACGACACTAAAATTATAAAGCTCCTTTTCCTCCCTGAAGTTTAGTGCTTTCTCCGCTGCAACTGTCTTTTTAGGGCCTGTCTCGAACTTGGATATATAAGGACATGGAATATGAGTAAATGAAACTCACTCTTTCAATTTTTTAATTATTTTTTCTCTCATATAATACATCCCTGCTGCAGCCTCTCCTCCTTCCCCTCCACTCCGCAGTTCCCTCCCCCACTTCTCCTTTCCCCAGATCCACTGTTCCTCTGTTTGACTTCAGAAAAACAGACTTCCCAGGCATATCAATCTAATATGTCATAAGAAGATGCAGTAAGGTAAACACAAACCCTCATATCTATCAAGGCTAGAGGAAGCAATCCAGTGGTTAGAAAGGCACCCCAGGAACAGGCACACGAGTCAGAGACACACCCACTCCCACAGTCCTCTTGTGGAAGTGTCAGAAGTGAGTCCTTGGAGATATCTTGGTAGATCAAGGGCTTACTACTGCAAATGTGAAGACTTGAGTTCAGGTCCCCAGCATCCAAAAGGAGCTGAGTATGGTAGCACACATCTGAAACCCCAGATCTGGGGAGTCAGAGACAAGGGGATCCTGAGGACTCCCTGGCCAGGCCACCCAGCCTGTGCAGCGAGCCCCAGGTTCTGTGAAAGACCCAACATCAACTTCCGACTTCATGGGTGCATGTACAGGAGTCTGCAAACATACACATCCATTCTCTCTCCCTCTCTGTCTCTCTCCCCCTCCCTCCCTCCTTCTCTATCACTCATTCTCCATCTCTTCCCTCCCCATCTCTCACAGGCACACACACACACACACACACACACACACAATCATATATATATACACACACACATAGCAACATATATATGCACACATACACACACACAGTTTTGTAAGTTGTGCTCTTTTACAGTTCATTCCATCAATCCCATAATAATATTTCTTTCTAAAGCAGAATTTGAAATTTACCAGGACCTAAGGCACATAAAAATATCAATAATCTATGCAGAGACACTTCTGAGGGTTAATAATCTAATTAAGAGCTGATTTCACTTAGTTAACATCTCAGTGTTATTCATAAGTTGTAGTCAGCTCCTGTCCACACATGCATGCTCAGACTTTTGGGGGTCTGTGACATTGCTGGCTTTCCAAATTTAGAAGCTTGATGGCATTACTCAAATAAGAAGCTGTCCATGTGTTCACTTTGAAAGAAACCACTGGCTACTGTTAATTTCCCCAGTATGACTGAAATATTGGCAAAACATCAAAGAAACATTGTCTTCACATTGTCACTAGCAAATCACAGCCATTGCTTGCAAATGGATTAATTTATAAATAGGCTACAGTTCCTGCATGTTTCCAGATGAACTCAATGCAAAACAAAGTGCTCTCTTTCAGACCGAATGTTTAAAGTTACGTGCACATGTGCGTGTCTCTCCGGGTACGTGCACAGGAGTGCAGTGCCCTCAGAGGACAGGAGTACATCTGACTCTCAAGTGCTACACTCCCAAGTGGTTTTGAGTGATGTGAATTGGGTGTGGGGAATTAAACTCGGGTCCCCAGATCAGTTCTAACCACTGGCCATCTCTTCAGATGTACACAAAGCTTGTTAGGTGAGCTTTTGAAGTAGAGCATCCAGAACAATGTGTGAGCAGACCAAACCATTGCCAGTACTAAGGGCTGCACCTGCTTATGAACAAATGAATTAAGCAGCATTGCCTCAGGCTCCTGCTTCACTCCCCCCTGCTTCTTTGAGAAGCAGCATTTCATTAACGTCACAAACAGCATTGATGTGAAAAACCACATGTTCACCATCTCTTGCAAACTTGGGTTATTGTGCATGGTTTGAAAACAAAACAACAAATCCCTCAGGTAAATAAATGTCAATAATTTTCTTGAATGATGGGAGTAATTTAAAGTGACAGATATGATTGTTCCTTGAAATGATTATTTCAACATATCTTAGACTTTATTCCTTTCAGATCAGGTGCCCTGGCTTGGGCTTTAGGTGGCTAATAATGCAAATAGGTTATACGGAACTTTCCCATTGGACACTTTTCTCCTAAATTCTTTCCATGAATAGTTTGAATTGTCAGGAATAAATTTTGAATCCATCCTGTACCCAAGTTTCACCCAAGGTTATTCCTGAATGCTTATTTGATGCAAATAGTTGAGCATTTTGTTTACTGGCTAGAGAGGTGGTGAGTGGCCTCCCTGAAGTGGCTGAGGACCTGGGTTGAGCTTGGGCACATTTACGTAAGTAATACCTAGAATGGAGTCTATGCTTCCCAACACACTATAAAATCATATCTTGCCCTTCCTGAAAGAATTGAATTCTGGTTCAAAAATCACTTCTTACTGGGGCTTTCAACACTTTGCTAGGTTCCTACTGAAATGTCAGTCAGGACTTTTACAGGTAAGAAATCCCAATGATTTATCAGAAAATCTAACAAAGCACTGAACTAATTGCAGAGCCTATCTCTAAGATTGTGTGAAATCAGCTCATGCTTTGCAATGTGGTTCAGCTCCAAACAATGTCTACCTGGTCTAGGAAGGGCCTAAGAGCCCCCTTTGCTATCTGGCCCATGACCCAGATTATCAAGTCAATAGTCAAAAGAATAATGGATATTTTATATTCACAAGTGGCTCAAGAGAAATAAGGACTTATACCTTGTGCATGCTCTTCCTCTAAAGCTATAAACCATCCAGAGAGGACAACCCTTCCCCCACCAAAAAAAAAATATATATGTATACAAAGAATGAGTACAGGATATAACAATGCATGTTTTAATGTTTTTTAGAAGCAAAGCCCTCCCAGTCACAGCAAACATACCGGTAGATGTTCAGAATGTCTAATTTCCAACATAATTTAAGCAGAGTTACAGTCAGGTCAGAATTCAGAAACAGAGCTCCCAGCTTCTGGGAGATATTTCTGTCAACTCTATCACTATGGAAAAATTTTACCTAGCCTTCCTAATTCATATTCCTTACCGCCAGAGTAGAGATAATAAAATATAATACAATGATATCTTTAAAGATCAGTGAAAATGATCTGTGTAATATGGTTATCAAAGGGCAGTGATTGGAAGATCATCTTCACTGGAAGATGAGTCGAGGTTATCATTATTGTACTATTATTGCAGCCACTGTTCTGTTTTTTTTGTTTTTTTAATCACTATCACCAGGCAGGAGGATTATAGAGGATCCAGAATGGAATTGTCAAGCCAGTTTATAATCACAATCAGATATAATAAAAGGTTCTGGAAAGGAGTAAAAAGAATCCTAAGAAGAAAATAAAAAAACAAATGAATAGGTCTTGAGGATGAGTGAGGGGAGAGAAACAGACACAGAGAAACTGTGGGGGGAGGTCATGAGAGGTAAGGCACAGTCACAGAAATGAAGTCTTTCTTAGCAGAAATGCAGGCCAGCAGAAGTGACTAAGAGTCAGAGCCACTGTGTGAAGAACACTCCCCCCTCCCCAGACTGAATAAATACAAAACAAGCCTCAGTCCTTGAAGTGGAAGAGAATTCACAACCATGAATCTGGGATTCTCGAGTGAGCATGGCACCTTCTGGAAAGAAGGAAGCAAACACTGTCTACACTCTGCGGTTTAGCAGCATGTTATGTGTCACAGGAAGAACATGTATTAACTGTAGTAATGAGTGTACAGAATACAGGCTAAGTACCATGCACTGCTGACATTGTAAGCTCTGGGTCCTTTCCCTTTATTTTCTCCAGAAGGAAAGCCCTTTGTACCCACAAGATGGCTCAACCTGTCACCTGTAAAGGCACCTGTCCACAAGTCTGACAGCCTGAGGCTGATCCTGGCAACCCATGTGGTGAAAGGAAAGAGCCCATGCTGTGCTCAGACCTTCACATTGTTACTATAGAACACACACACGCACACACACACACACACACACACACACACACACACACACACACGCGCGCGCGCACATTCATGCTCACATTTCATAGACCAACAAAGTTTGTAATTCTTTAAAGTTTGTAAAGAAGTGTCCTTGGGTAGAAAGTATTTCTTTCCCTTTGTCATCACTGAAGTATGCATGCATAAGTAATGTAGATCTCTATGCCCTTTGATTTGTTGTATATTAATGAAATCAAAGCACACACACACACACATTCATCTTGATCCATGTGATGGCTATATTATGTTCATTTTAAGTGCTGAATAGAACTACAATAGAGAAATGGACTTCAGTTTATCTCCTATATGGATGGCAGACATTTGAGAAAATGCCAATAATTGTTCAAGGGTATATATTTAGGGTTGTTCATACATAGCTATCCAATAAGTTTATGTACATTTCACAATATAAGGGAACTCCTCTTTTTTGCCGATGTGAGATAGAGTCCAACCTGAGACATGTGTAATGATATTCGGGGTAAATTTTTATTTCTTATTAATGAATTCATGATTATTTTCTTCTTTAATAAATTTAATAATAATTTTCAGTGTTTTATAATATGCATGTTATAAGCCACCTGGTGTGGATGCTGATAGTGTGTGTCTTTACCACAAAGCTATATCTCCAGCCCTTCAGTTTTTGCTTAAAACTCAGTTTATGATTTTATATATTTTATGCTTTTTATACTATTAATTGAAGATTGGCTTCCAGAGCTCTGCAAAATTTTTCTCATTTTTTTAAGGATTATTTACAGTTTTCTCCCTTATAGTTCTAGGTTCAATTTCAACTTGCTTAATTTTGTGTGTAAAGTGTTCATCTTTGAATTTTTTAATTCTTTGATCTTTTCGTGCTTACATACAATGAATTTGATTGTGTTCAGGCTCTATTAACTTCTCTCATCCTCCCTCATACTTTAAAATTCACCTTTTGTTCTTGGTTTGTGGGTGTGTGAGACCCACTCAGATTCATCCAGACTGGCCACATAAGCATGGGTGTGAGGTTAGTTACTGGGATGCGGCAAATTATTAGTGACTGTGCCACCGAAGGAAATGAACCTCACTGCCACCCCTAGCACCTGTGGGATCCAGAAGAGGACTTCAGATCCCTGGAAGTGGAGTTGTGATGGTTGTGAGGCACATGTGGGTGCTGGGAACCAAACCCAGGTCCTCTGGAAGAACAGCCATTGTTCTTTACTGCTGAAACACCCCCGTTAGCTGGGCTTCATGTCAGACTGGTAGTCATGCAATCCCATGTTTTATAGAAAGCATTGCTATCACATGACACCAGTTCTATTGTGTTGTTAATCTTATCATGTGCCTTTCTTAGGCACCTTGCTAACAATACTGTCAAACCTGATGTATTTAGGAGAATTTGTGTGTTGTCCTTGGCATAACTAATATCCAGGTCAATTCATAGTGTGACTTCACTAACCTCTATAAACACTGAGCTGCATTAGCTTGTGTTTCTGTGAGGATCCTAATATTTTTTGATCGAATGCTGGACAGTTAGCGTTTGTGATTATGTTAATTTGGTTAACTTGTGATCTCCCATCTCTGTAGCGGTCATAAAATTTTACACTTTTGTATGTTACACGGCAGCTGCTTTCACTTTTACAATTGGCTCAATATTCTTCATTTCAAGGTTAAGTTCTTCTTCAGAGAAAACATCCCTCTTCAGGAAAAAAAAAAATGGCAGGAAAAAATAGAAAGGAAGGCATCTTAAAGTCTCAATGTGTCTCTGAATTCACGGATTGATTTTTATCCTTTCAGATACCATATTTAAACAGACACACATTCAGATTTCTGTGAAATCTGGGATTGGGAAAGGGTTGTGGTTGTGTAAATGCAGTTTGCCTCTGATGCTGTCTCCACTAAGGAATCCCAGGCTGGTTAGCTTAGCTTTCTTTCGTTTGTGTGGTGTTCCATTCTCTTGTCCAGGAAGATATGGTGGGTAAACGTTTGCCAGCCATGTTTTCAAGTGCTCCAAACCCCTTCCAAGTATGTTTATTATCTAAAATGTCAGAATGCAAAGCACGTGAGGCCTATGGCACATCAAATACCTCTCAAGAAAAATCCAGAACGTGTCTCACAGGACATAGCAACACATGGCTGTTTGTGGTTTTATTAACTCAAAGGATCAGAGAGTCAGGAGAAATTTAACCCAGCCAAAACTCCGGTGGATTCCATAACTCCTCTGTAAACTCTCCTGATGTTCTTGAGCCTTCAGGTGGAGGAGTTCCACCCTCCTGTGGCTATCTACTCAATTCTTAACCCAGTACTATAGAGAAAGTTCTCTTATGTTGATCCAAAATCCACCTTCCTTTATACATGAATACAGGACATTCATAGGATTTGGATATTTGAAACTAATTTTATCCATAATCACTGCTTTTTTTGTGTGTACATGTGAGTGTGTGCTTGTATGTGTTTGTGTGCACACATATATGTGTATGAGTGTGTGCATGAGTTTATGTTTATGAGCATGAGTGTATATATATATATATATCAAATACATACATGCACACCACACACACATATAATATATAGAGATATATGTAGATATGTAAGTATATCTATTGGCGTATGGTTGGAAAGTGTGTCTACACAGTTGCTTTGGGTCTGTTTCTGCCTGAGTTCACAATAGTAACAACCTCTAAAACAGTTACTTTTGCACAAACTGTAACTGGCAATTTGGCAAGAAACAACTGAACCCAGAAAGGTTCATTGTGGTTCATGGTTTGAGGGGCTACTGTCCACTCTAGTGTAGCAGTCAGCTCCTGATGGTGTATATTAAGACCAGAACTTTTCACCTCTTCATGTAGCCTAAAACAGAAAGAAGGGGATTGGGATGGAGAAAGGCTAACCGGTAACCTGTGAGCCCTGCCACCAAGCAGTTTTGGCAGCCAGGCCCACCTCCTAAAGGTTTCACAACCTCCCTCAAGAGCACCACCAGTTTAGGAACATGTCTACAAACACACAAGCCGGTAGTGGGCATGTCACATCCAAACCACACTGACCTACTGGAATTCTTCACACAGATTCTGTGTAAACAAAATAGGTTAATGTCTTCAGGTTTATATAACAAGGGATATGACCATCCGTTTTTCAGATAAAAGCTGTAGACAGGAAGCAGCATTCTTAGAAGTTCTCTATCAGGCTTCTATTCTCCTGTCCTTTACAGGTAATAAGCCAACCAGTGCCCTTTGTCCTTCTCTGGGTTTTAGCCCCAAATCATCCCTTCCCCTATTGCATCCAACTATCTGAGTTTTCATCCATCAGCACCTGGCAGAATATGAGCCATGAGCATTAAGTCCTCAAGTCAGAACCTACTTCCAGACTGATAGTTCCCCCAGGCCACTGAAGGACCAGTGTTTGAGCAGAAGCTCTAGCTGTCTGTCATCTTCAAAGTTAATCAATCTCTGTTATGTGCTAAGTTACACCTATACTGTCCTCTGAGAATGCAGGGTTTGTGTGCATGTGTGTAGAGTATTTTGTGTCTTAATCTGAGAATTGCAAGAGCTAGAACCTTGGTCTACTTGGTAGCTCTTGTTATGTGTTCAAAAATACCTTAATGAAATAGCAGTCCTAAAAAATTCATGGTGTGTGAATATCTGCCAAGCTTAAACTTAAAGCTTTGTGTGTATGTGTGTGTGTGTGTGTGTGTGTGTGTGTGTGTGTGTGTGTGAATGCACTTGAATGTGTATGTTTGATATGACTTTTGTGAGGTCACTTTCTTCTGCATGGAAACCTTTGGAGGACAGAAATTCAATACCAGGCATCTCCCTTAAATGCTCTCCTTCTCCTCAGCCACTAAAACTACACTTTCCTCTATTTCCAAGCAAAGAAATTTTGGAATCATCTTAAACCTCATCTTTGTTCAATTTTCATATCAAATTCATCATCTTGTTATTTTTTATGATTGAATTATTTCACTTAACATATTCCAGAAATCTCAGTGACTCATGACTACAATTAACATATTTATCTTTTAGAGTTTTGTGAGTGTAAAATGAGATAAATAGATTATATAAGACATTAAGACATACTGCACAATGGTTACAAAACAAACTAGCTACCATATTTCCAGAGATTTAAGAAAACTGAGAATTTTCATTTGAATTGGTAATGTTTATGCCTTTTTTAGAATATTCATCAATTGGCTCTTTCTAGTGCACAAATGACAAACCACTTTAAGTGTCCCATTCACATAATTTTATGGCATTTCAATCCTCACCTCATTAGTTATCTGTGTATAACAGGTAAGGTCATATTTCTTTTATAATCCAAAGAATATGTGAATGGCTTAAAATTAAACATTAGAATTTTATCATTTATAATTTTTTTATAGTTTTTTCTCCTTTAATCTTGATAGAAACCTGCTCAGTTACTATTGTTCCTACTGTAGAGAAGACATGGTGTAGGCATATGGAAATTAATGTTTTAATGATTGTGGGAAGAACATGAAAGGTTGTCATAGAGCTGTACTGACTTCAGTGGATGTGTTGACAGTCTATTAATAGGGGAATGATCTTCTATGGGGCTATCCAGTTCATCAAGTCCTGATGGGTGATGTCCTTCTGTATATATTTTTCTCTTATTGGTTGATTGGCCAGTAGCCAGGCAGGAAGTATAGGCAGGACTAGGAGAAGAGTAGAATTCTGGGATAAGGAGGCAGAGAAAAAGATGGAGATGTCATATAGCCACTGAAAGAGTAACATGCTGGAGCATTCATTCTCTGGTAAGATAAGACCATGTGGAAATACTTAGATTAATAAAAATGGGTTAGTAATTAGGAGAGAACTAGTTAATATGAAGCCTAAGCCATCGACCAAACAGTTTAAAATTAAAATAAATCTCCATGTGTTTATTTGGGGCTGAAGTGAGGCCCAAAATGGTAGAAAGAAACTCTGTCTACAAAGTCCAGTCTTAAACATGACACTACAAATTACAGCCCAGTATTGATGATATGCACAGAAAACCATAACCTTAACTCTAGCTCTTAGGGGAGTGTGGCTTTTGGTTTATTTTATTAACTGAGTAGGATTGGAGTACCCATGTGATTCTCAGTGTGTCCACTTGTGATGAGGCACATACTAAAAGCATCTGACTCTTCTGCACAGGGATTACTCATGAATATTTATTCTCCATGCTATAATAAACAGCTGTATATTTTTAATATGTGAGAGACTTAAAACAAATCTGAACTAAACGCTACCCTCTATATTCACACATTAGTCATGTCTGTTGATGTCTGTGCAATGTCTATTTTTTTTTCTTCTGTGGTATTCATTAATTATTCACCCAAAATTTTTTTCATTATTTATAAAAATATCTTAAATCATACTATGAAGGCATTGAGAAGTGGTTTTCTGTTCTACTAGAGACAAAATTGTGTCCTATTAGTGTAAAAACTTGTGATCTAAAATTCAAATTGAGTAAGCAGATTCAAGCATTTTTATGTTGTGAGTCCTTATCTTTATCTCACTTACTTTCTTATTTTATTCCTTTATCTCATCCTTTCTTCCATTTCTCATTTTATGTTATATAATGTAAAGTTACATTTAGATTAGTTAGTTAAGCAGTTATATGAAGTATAGACTGTTGCAGGATATTCCTTTACACTGTGTGAAGATGTGCCACTGGGATTGGTTTAGTAAAGAGTTAAACAGCCAATAGCTAGGCAGAAGAGGTTAGGCGGGACCTCTGGGGACAGAGAGGACTCAGGTAAGAAGAAAGGCAGAGTCAGCAGCCTGGTGCAGAGGAAGCAGGACATGCAGGAGGAGACAGGAAAGCCACAAGCCACATGGCAGTGCATAGATTAGTAGAAATGGGTTAATTTAAGTTTTAAGAGCTAGTTGGGAACAAGCCTAAGTTAAGGTCATGCTTTCATAATTAACAATAAGTCTTAGTGTCACTATTTGGGAGCTGGTGGTACAGAGGAAGTCTTGTCACATATGGTGTCCATTATGGGGGTTTGATTATCCTAACATAGGACCTGAGGAAGATAACAAAATTTTGGACAAGGAGCCAGATGTAGATTCACAGTTCTGCAGTCTCTCAAGTGGGCTGATGTTTGATAATGCACAGAGGTATGGCTGGGGTCTGTGGACTGAAACCAGCTGCCAGCACCATGTGCTAAGCTGAGCCATGTGGCAGCTGACATGACAGCCTGATATTCGTCTCATGAAGTCAGAGAATGCTATAGATGTTTAGAAAAGCCAGGCCCAGACACAGAAAATCTCTAAAATATACAGTATGGTTCAAAATGTGCTTAGATGCTGAATAAAAGAAAAGAAAATGGATATAGGCAGTCATTTAAAAAAGCCACCTTCCATTCCACACCTTCTTCATGAGAAAGAGGTCATTTAAAGACAAATGTTAATAAACTGTGATATTTGATCTTGTCATCTACAGACACATGTGAATAATGTTATTGAAGAAGTTAAAAATATATGCAGTGTTCTGGGATGTGTTGAAACCAAGCAAGTTTCAGATGCAGTAAAAGAACTAAAACTACTTCAGAGGAATCAGCCTCAGGTAAATATACTCAATTGGTACATATAACTATATGTACTATAACATATACATATAAACTAACCGATTGTTGCATGCAATGTTTTCATTACTGGAAACCATAAGTCTGTGTGCACACGTGTGCTTGTGTCCATGAGGACAGCTCAATTATGCTATGCCAAAGAGATTCAATTAAATTAAAAGGAAGTTTTTTTAACACTTGGGAAATTTGTGACTTCCCTCAAAATCTCCAAGTGCAGAGCCCACAAGTATCTCAGAGGATGCAATGCACGGTGTTCTAGCATGTGCGTGTACAGGCTGTTGATGGTGGTCTTGTGCATAGGTACAGAGCGGTCCAGCTGTATGGCTAGAAGGTGGTAGAGTGCGTGTTTTCTCCATGAATGTGAAGTAGACACCGATGGTGTGAGTTCTGAGGAAATTCTCTGGGAGCTGTACTCTCTACAATTTACTTCTTTGAAGGGTCTGGAAAAATAAAGTATTGTGCAAGTTTTTAAATCTGAGGGAAGTAGGAAACTCTCCAGTGTAAGTTATGATCAAAGCAGTGTTTATGAAATCCATTCACCATGTGTCTGTTACACAATAAAGTGACCAAACAGAAATGTAACAATCATGGCAATATAGTCGTAGTAGTAGTAGTAGCAGTAGTAGTAGTAACAATAGCAACATAATATTCCCCCCTCCAGAACATGCTAAGATCCCATCTGTACTAACACATCTCAAGTAGCATGTTCACTCTAGTCAGGTTCACTGGTGATAAAGCTTAATTTATAAAACAGACTCGTAAGGAAACAAATGAAACCAATTGTGTATAGCACTAAAGCAACATATACTATAACATATAACACAACTGTCAGCATCACTATTCTGACTCTTTGAGGTCATTTTATCAAATACTTGATCACAAACATTCTAAAACCAAAACAGCTAGCTTTGTGATTCAGATGTTACTAAGTGGCTGACAGGTAAGCAGCAAATACTGCGTGAGCACAGGGACAAAGAGATGATTCTGGATCTGGGTAGCGAGGAATTGAACAAGGAGGGCTTTTATGTATTACTCAGACTTAAAAGCTGTGGATCATTTATTTCTGGAATGTTCTACTTATTTTTAGCATGTTCATTTTATTATTCAAATCAGTTACACATAGTGTTTAGGGACAGAGGATTAATACATGAATTCTTTGACTGCATGGAGAACAACAAAGATTATACTACTTTTAAATACATTCATCTAGAAATTCTCAAAAGATTGATTTCAAATGTAGCTAATCACTCTTACTGGATATGTAAGTAATTATGCTGGCTGCTTATTGTTGCTGACACCAGAGTGACTGTGCAAAGTCAGTAATTGAATTCTTGGTTATGTCTTGTTTTAATCACAAGTTGTTTCACGATTAAACAATGGAAACAAATAATTTATTTGCATTCTGTGCTCTGTAATGGTGACAATCCTATGAGTCCCCAGACACAGATCGCCAAATATTCTAAAATAAACATTAGCTAAAAACCAAAACATCTGAGCATAAAAAAGCATGTTTGTGATAATCAATAATCCCCAAATTCATTGCCTAAGAATTATTTTTGTTCTAAGTTTTCCTTAGTGGAGGAATCTATTCTTTTACTTTCCCATTTATTGAGACGATTCCCTGTGTCTGCTGTGGAACATATAACAAGAACACAGGAAGGAAGGAAGGGAGGGAGACAAGGAGGGAGGGAGGGACAGAGGGAGGGAGGGAGGGAGGAAGAAAGGAAGGAAGGAAAGAAGGGAGAGTCTATTTGGATTTGCAACTTGAAGAACTGTCCATCATTGAGGGGAGTTGAGGCATCAGAAGCTGAAAGTAGCTGGCCATGTTGCCTTTGAAATTAGGAAGAAGAGAGAAATGAACACACACTGCTGCCCATTTCCCTCTATTTACCCAGTCCAGGGTCCCAACCAGGGAATGGTACCTTCTGAAGTGAGAATTCTCACATCAGCCAATGCAACCAAGATAGCCTCTGTGCTCACAGGCTAAAATAGCCTAGATAATCCCCCATAGAGATACTAATGGGCTTGTCTCCTAGGTGATTCTAATCTCTAGATTGTGCCAAGTGGATAATCACCACTAACCATCACACCACTAGTGCAGAAGCAAATGAAATCACTGTGGCATCTCTAAGCCTTGTTTTAAATAGCTATTAAGATTTATGGTCTTCACATGTGACCATAAGGTGAGAAATATGATGGGCACTCATATAATTTGATTGTATTGTTCTCCTCTGTGTCAAGACAAAAATCAAACAATACTGTGGTCTTGGAAATCATATCACCTGTGCGTTCAGAAAATAAATATTTCCATAAACTTAATAATTAAAAGTTACTTCACTTCCAATAAATGATGTCAAGTCAGAATGCCAAACCAGGGAGAATTATCTCCAAAAGATAATTCATGTCTTTTTGGTCATCACCCTTTGAAGATGTTGTGAGCATCTAGAACTGATAACAAAACATAGTGTTACAAATATGATTGGAATCTAAGCTCTCCTGTTTCCTTTCAGAATCAGATTGTGGGGAATTCATTAACCTCTCTGGTTTTCCATGGTGTAATCTAAACGAACTGGAGGTGATCAGGATGATTCTTGTGCTGAGTCTTCCTCCCAAGGTCCCAGAGACACAAGCCCCATCCCTGGCCCCGTCATCTCATGGCCATTAATTACTAGCTTTAGGACAAACATGAATATTTGTCACAGCAGCCCGGATATGGAAGTGTGGAAATGTGTCTTTTCTGTGGAGGCCATTAGGCAGGATTTAAAAAAGTTTTTGATGAAGGTGCACTTCACATGATATTAAAGTTCACTAAGGAATAAAATGTCTGGTCTCACAAGAAGCTGTTTCCTAAACCTTGTGAAAAACAACCTAAAATTTTCTCCAAGATACCCAGCTTCTCAGTAAATCTGAAGCCCAAATAACCCTTTATGGAAGAATTAGCTATTTCCTTGGAATGCCCTGAGCAAGTATGCTCAAGCAAAGCTTAGATTTATGCATTACAGCCCATATGGGCTTATGCAACTGAACTTATATATAGCCTCATATTTTCATGAAGGAAATGATTTGAAAGGACAGAAACAAAAAAAACTTGAAAATCAAGAGTTTGGTTTCTTTAATAATTAACAGTTTTATCACCTATGTTCCAACCCCAAGATCTTAATTATTTTTTACAGACTTTAAAGTTCATTGTTTCCATGTTGCATGTACTGATCCTGCCCATCAATTTTTCATCCTGTCTTAATTGTGAGCCTGCATACAGAAGAACACCGGGACTAAATACCAAATACATTTAGCACGATTTGTGCAGTAACCACTATCAATTAAGTAGTCAACAAGAACCAACCTGTCCACCCACTGTAAACCTAAGATAACAAACACTGTGGGATCCAAGTCTCTGCCAGCAATTCTCAAATTTGAGATGCTTTTTTTTTCCTGGCTTCATTTTTAGTTTTCTTTGCAAGACACTATTTCCTGCAACGTAGGGAAGTAATTAAGTATTTAATAAATGAAAGTTTGGCAAAATGAAGAATTAAATTATAAGTGCACTTCTATTCTATTCTATGCTCCCACTTAGTACTGAAAATAATCTTTAGCCTTCAAGTTATACTCAAAAACTAATTTAATATATTTTTGTATAATACTCCAAAAAAGCTGAAGGACAGAGTGAAAAATATGTTCTTTCCTGTTTTGCTGCAGGTGTACGTCATGGTGATTTTACAATACAAGCCTACATTTCTGAACAAATAAAATGCCAGCCAAGCTAAGAGTTCAAATAGTCTGACACACCTGAGCAAGATGAAGATATTATCTATAGTTTTGGGAACTGGTGTTTGGTGCTACATTCTAGTGAACGATTTACCTAACACAAGTGCTTCTGAGGCTCATAAAATGACATTTTTAAACAAAATGTTACAGTCAAATTTAATCATATTTTACCATATTAGAAATAGTCTTTCTCTGAGGAAATCATCCAGAAGTTCTCTGATACAAGAAAACAGTTATTCCCTAGTTTATTGGCTGAATAAATATGCTTTCTAGTTAAATGACATCCTTATAAGAAAACTTTAATATTTTTAATTAAAGAAAAAGAAATGACTTGAATGGTAATGCACTCATGTTGTCCCAACTACCAAAAGAGCTGAGGCAGGAGATGAACAGGTATCCTGGAGTATGAGTGAATCATGGCCAATGTATCAAGACCCCAAAAAGTTATTTTTCAATGTTCTAAAAGTTCCATCAATTGGAGTGAATATTATTAGAAATGAGAACTCTCCTTTCTGCTAAAACATTGTTTTTAGTGAACCTATGAGTCAATGTATTGTTTTCATGGTAATGGACTTAGAATCAGCAAGCCTCAAGCCAGCTAAAGAACGACCTACACATAAATATAGTCATCATGTTGTGGACATGAATATAAATGGCAGAGAAAAGAATAAAAACAGTAACATTTCAGATTGAGAATTTTGTGATATGATGTAACACATTTTCTTCTATGTTCAACTATGAAAAAGGAGAGAAATAAAACCAGGTGGAGAATCTATATGATTCAATTCCCCCTTCATCTGGAATTCTTTTGGATGGTCCACTAAGCTTGTGTCTGGATATCTGCTAATAATGAGAGATAGGTAGCGAATGAGGAGAATTTGCAATGCACTTCTAACAGAAGATTAGTTCCAGTCATGGAGGAGAGTCAGAGCTTAGACAAGATCTGCAGATTGCTTTAATAATGAAAAGCTCGACTGATTTGAGCAATCTCTTTAAAAAATCAAATAACCTACATTACTCATTGCAATATCTAGAACGCTTTGTTATTATGCAATATAGATTTCCAGTATTTAACATGCAACACAGATTAAATAATACTGAGAGATTTTTTTTATCATTTTCTCATCTCAGAGAAATTATAGTGTATTGATTTTAGATATTACTGGTTTAATGATTTTCCTAAATTAGTAACACTGTATTTCCTTATTATTTTTTAGAATTTTCATCAGAAATCAGAGACTTCAAAAAAAGGTAATGAAAATATGCATTCATACATTTGAAAAATAAAGGGAACAAAGGATACATGTCTTAGAATTCCCTCACTTTTTTTCCAATTTGCCCATCTAAGTACTGTAACAACACACACCCACATGACCCGGGGAAAGTGGTTTATTCAGACCTTAAGATCCTTCTACTGGTAGAAGTGATGAATTCACAAGTGAATGGACAAGATGGTATTGTTTAAACCTACATTGTGTTTGTTAATTAAAATGAGACAAGTAGAGATATCTTATTGTGGTTAAATAAGAATCAGGATAAACAAACAGGCCTAATAGATGTTTATTCAGGGAGAAAAAGCTTACAGCCTAGACAGATGAACACCAGCAATTTCTACCTAGTCCTGCCAGCAAGAGAGCTTTTCCTGGCTCTTCCTCCGAACTCCTTCCACAGGTCACTTCCGCCCATGGCTCCACCCCACAATGGACTTGGTCAGTGCCACAGAAGGACTATCTCACTACAATACCTAACAATGAAAGGGGTTTCAACTGATTGATTATTGTTTAGTTGATTGATTGATTGATTGATTGATTGATTGATTGATTGATTTTGAGACTGATAGACTGGTGTCACTATGTATCCCTGCTGGAACTCACTACAAAGATCAAACTGGCGTTGAACTTCCAGAGATCCTCCTGCTTCTGCCTCCCAAGAAGTGGAATTAAAGGCTTGTCCTTTTAATCATCCAAAGATACTGCAAAAATGTTTACAATGAATTAGACTTTGTTGTGAGAAAAAGTACAGGCACTGATCTCCAAAGTCATTCGAATTTAAACTCAACCTTTTATTTGAAAGACCAGCTGGTAGACTAGACAACTGGTAGACCAGGTAGAAGGACTGGATTATGGAGCAGGACTCATAAAGGATCTGGGATGATGATGCTGAAAGCTGAAGGGTTCTTTCCCACTTCTGTAAAGAGTGGGTGTGTGATGTGCTTCAGACCAGGATCCACTTTCAGGTTTAGTTTCCAACATCAGCTTTACCACTTCTGATTTCTGAGACCCAAGAATAAACTCTTGAATTTAGTCCTAATAAGCACAAAATATGATGGTGTATGGTTGAGGATGTTGTTCGCACAGTGAGATGATCTTTGGAAGAGGAACACCTGAGCTTCCTCCAGGGACAACATAACTAACAACTGATAACCTTGAATGCATTTAAATCAACCCACCTTCCACACGGTTAATCCTTCTAGTTGGGAGTTGCATGAAAACATACAGTCTCAGTTCTAATTCCAACAGTTGGAAAAAGCTGTTCAATATCAGTGTTGCCCTCTATGCATCAAGGTGATACAGGGGCAGAGGATACGGAGAAAATCCTGGAGCTAGTGAAAACAGGACGTGGATATCAGGAGACTCTAAGACATGCAAGGACCAAAGGGGCACAGGCTGCTTCAAACGTTCCTGGCACCGAATCTCATGATCATATGTGCAGAGCTCAGGCTCAGTAATGCTGGTACAAAACTCTGCCCGTTTCTATTGGGAGTTCTGTAATGAGGTCTCTTCCTCCGGACCCCTCATGGCATTAGAATATAAGATTCTATAAAAAAAAAAAAATGAGCGGCAATGTGCCCAAAGATTTGTACTCCATAATAAATTACAATGGATTTCAATTCATATATTTGCTTTGCAAATAAGTTAACATTGTAATTTTTTTTCCTCAGAGAAAAATACAGGTGTGATAAATATTATTTTACCATATTTCTCCACCTAGCCCAAGGTCTTGATTCACAGAATAATTTGATGATGTCATTGTTAGTATATACATGCGCATGTGCTTAGAGGCCAAAGGTCAACATCAGGCATCCTTAGCCACATCCCTCCTTGTTTTTTGTTTTGTTTTGTTTTGTTTTTGTTTTTGTTTGTTTGTTTTTTGAGGTAAGATCTCTTACTATAGTTGGAGTCTACCTGGCTGACTGCACAGCAAGTTTCAGGAAGCCCTCCATTTCTCCCTTCCAGGGATAACAGATGCAAACTACTGGATTAATTGTTTTTAAACATTTATTTTGTATGTACGAATGTATGCCTGCATGTATTTAATGATGGTGCTATGAAGGTGAGAATAGTGTAGCTGGAGTTAAAGACTGCAGTGATCTGCCATATGGGTGCTGGGAATTGAACGCCAGTCCTCTGGAAGAACATCTGGTGTTCTTAACCACTGAGCCATCCCTCCAGCCCCCATGCCTAGCTCTCCACGTGAGTCCTGAGGTGCTGGTCTCAGGTTCTCATGCCTTCATAGCAGGTGTCTGCTGAGTCATCTCCGTGGCCTCTGGTGATGAATGTGAAATGGATTCTTAAATCTAGACTTGTGGAAACATAAGAGTACATTTGGGACTTATTACTAAGCAACCTCACAGACACAAATAATAACCCAGAACTCTCTTTCTGCACTAACAGTAAAGAGTAGAAGGTGGTAAGTATCAAAATTGAGGTCCTCAAAAATATGAACTTGAGGACAGATCAATAATGTTGGATATATATTCGCCAGCACACTTTCACAAAATTGGGTGTTACTGACAAGAAGCTTGTGCTTCTTGTTGCAAAGAACTGGCAACAATTTGTAAAGAGGAAACAAAATGTTTCTAGAAACTTCCAAATCTGCCACCCATGATTCAGGAAAATCCCTGTTGGGTGGCCTCCAAGGGTGTGACAAGCCTACTTTTAGGACTATTATAATGCTGACTTTTTTACTTCTGCTTCATTAATTCCCACTGCTGATTTCTCAGAGAAATTTAATTAGAGCCTTTTTCTCTTTGCTCATCTTCCCCCAGGCTGTTGAAAGAAGAAAAAAGGAGGGGGCACCATTTAAGAAACGAGGCAAATAAGCACAATTTGTCTATCATAAATTTTGTGTGCATTTATGAAAACCTAAGTGAATAATAGCATGTGTTGAGCAACAACAAAGAGTGCTTAATTGTGGGCAGAATTGCTGGAGGACAGGATGTGGGAAGAAGGCATCATGTTAAAGCTAGCTTCTGTCCTGGGGAGCCTGCGCACTCTAACACCATAATGGTGCAGAATACTCGAAACAAACAAAAAAAAAAAAAAAAAAAAAAAAAAAAAAAAGAAAGAAAGAAAGAAAAGGAAAGGAAAAAGAAAGCTAGCTCTTTGTGCCATTTTCTTTTGGAAACAACTGGGAGCCAAGACACAACTTATGTTTCAGAAGGGACTTTGGAGGGGGTTGCATGTTTCCATAAGTGATATGACTTGGAGTGTGCTTAAATTCTGTCACAGCAGACAGCAGAGAAGGATGTTCTGATCTGTCCCCTTGACAAATTCTTTGCTCCTACAAGAAAATTATTAGCTGATGAGTCATTTTTCTTCCTTTATAACTGCCCTTGCTTCATTTAAGTGATTATGACAAAAAAAAATCCTAACAAAAGGAAACTTCGAATCAAAAGGGTTCATTTGGATTTCAATCTGAAGTTATAGTCCCTTAGGAAAAGTCAAAGCAGAAATTGAAAGTGTCACATTTGCAATCAAGAGTAGAGAGGGAAAATGTACGGATCCTTGAGAAAATGTATGGATACTTGCTTGCTTGTGCTCATGGAGCTTTCATCTGTTGTGCATAGTTAGAGAAACCCAGCCTAGGGAATGGAACCCTCTCACAGAGGGCTGGGTCTTCCTGCATTGGGTAACAACCCTCAGGCTAACCCAACATAGAAAACCCCTCCCTGGGACTCTCTCCTCAGATGACTATAGGTTGTATCAACTTAACAGTTAAAACTGATGCTCACAGTGACAGACAGGTGATGAGTGTTCAGCCAATGGTAAACAGATCTTTCAAACAGAATTTGTTTGAAGTGATCATAAGCCATTTAGAAAGTATGACCCTTTCCTTATAGTTAACTCTAAAAAGCTGTAAACCAGAAGATAATTGATTGCAACTTCCAATCAATTGGCATATCAAATTAATCATAAAAAGAGCCTCCAATTTGTAACTAGAAGGATATGTTTTCAAAATCTCTACTGCTAAAGAAATGGAAGTGTGTAGACAGATGATCTACCAGCAGCCATGCCAGGCTGCTTCCAGAGGCCCAGGTGGCTAATTGGCTCCAGTTATTGAGGGTCACTTTAATTAAATCTTATTTATATTTCATTATAAGAGATTTCAAAGCTATAATTGATGGCTTATGAGAAATATGACCCTTCACAGACATCCCAATCTCTCTCCTTTACTTCCCCAGGCTTCATAGAGAAAGTGGCAGCAAAACTATCAAGGTCCATCTATCAACTAATCGAAGTGTACTGCAGTAGCTTCTGTACTGATTTCCAGGCTGTGCACCTACCTGGAAGTACCTCCTGCATCCTCGCTGGGCTCCGTTCCCACCTGAGCTTCACAGTGTGTGCCCTGCACAACGTTCCAGAGACGTGGGCACACAGGTGAGCAGCAGAGAATTTTCCCAGAGTCCCCCCACCCCCCTGCCAAGTATAATTAGCTTTGGTCTCACTTGGAGAAGCAAGTATATCATAAAATGTTGGGAACTCAATTGATGCAGATTTATTTTTCATCTTAAGAAAAGCTAGATTCCGGGTGGGTATTCATTTTTCCTTCACCATATTAAAATGATGGTTATAGTCAGTGCCTCTTCATGAAGTAGACAGTGTTCACCCTGTTTAGTGGCTTCTCTAAAATGGTATTTTTCATAATTTAGTTTAAACAATTAATCATAATTAATAGGATACAGGAGCAGAGAAAGTGCATGCACAGGCACTGAAAGTATTTATAGATAAGCATAGCTAAGTTCTCTGATCCCTATGAGGTTGTGAGTGGTACAGACACCTCATCAGATTAGTATCTTACCAAAGTAAGAATTACCAATGGATTATTTGATTTTCACAATTATTCATGGAATACCTCTGGGCTTTAAGTTAACTATATTTATGTAATATTTTCTAGAATAACATATTCATAGTAACATTGTAAAATTTAAATTCTTTGTCAATTGAATATAGAATATATTGGTAAACTTTATTCAAATTAAGTGAATTGTTAATAAACGTACTATTCATACAGCATTTGGCACCTGAAAGAAAAGCTAAAACTAGTGATTAAAATACATATTTTTAAGATTAATATTTTTGTTAATTCTTTGAGTATTCCACACATTGTAGTGATCATGTTCACCCCTGCTTCTGTCATAGTCATCTGTAGTAACCCCACGTTGCAACACCAATCTGTTTTTGCCTGTCTTTGTGTGTCTTCAGTCGGATCCAGCTGACTTGCCTGGTTCATATCTGAAAGGGGGAGTGGGGATTGAGAAAGGTCAGGTAAAGATGCTAAGAAAAAATGGACACAGGATAGAATTAGGAGGGCAATCCAGGGAATACTAGAAGCTTCAAGTTTATTCCTCAAGATTCTTAAGTGCACCAATCAAAAGGGGGAACATGGCAGAAGACTTCTATTGTCATGTATAAGGAGCAAACAGACTTTCTTCCCTTAATCCTCCAAGCATTTGGTAGCCACACCTGTTACCTGGCCTTGAAGGTCTATGACTTGATAAATACAACTAAAACTATGTATACAGCATACATACATACATATATATATATGTTTATTGATATATAAGTATATGTATAGCATATGTCATCTATACATTAATACATTTATGTACATGAATGAAGGTATACTATAGATTTGATCATAATGTGTGTTTGCTTCATTTGTCTCTACAAATCACTTGTATGATGTCTAAATTGTTTCAACATATTTTAACGTATATAATATGGTTACTTGAAGATAGTTATGAATGCATGTACATATAATCATAGATATAAAATAATGCTTTTGTACAAAGGAACTATTGTAATAAATAAGTGAGAACCTTAGTCAATTAAGCAAAATTGTGCATTTTATTCATTAGAGGAACAAATTTTAAGACAAGAGCTGGAAGCTATCCCCAGAAAAAGCATAATAATTTCTCTCCTAAGGAATTTAGGGCCAGCAGACCTTCTAATAAAATGCCAAGACACTACATACTCGTAAGTTTCCCTGATGACTTGTATTTACTTATAACTGTCAAATTTCTCCCAAATTATTAATATAATACAACAGACTAAGATCTCACACTCTGAAACTCGGAAGTGTAGGGGATGATGTAGATGAAGAAATCTGGGTTGATTTGTATCAACTCCTATTTGTATCAAGGAAGTCATGATACAGAATACAGGTTCTCTTTTAGGCTCATCATTGTTACATATGAAAGATTCCTGCATGTCAATGATGATATAACTTTATCTGCTTATGCATGCATATATTACATAATACTTAATCTTCATAATTACAAATTATTAGTTGCCCATGAATTGCCTTTTACAATATCTGTACAACAATCCAAAAATTTCTTAATGTGTAATATATGCTCAATAAAGACTTACTGTAAGTGTCTACATAAACTTCTTTTAATATAATTTTAAGACACTTAATTTATGAAACAAACAGTTATATGGCTCAGAAGGGCCGAGGTTAGGAATAAGCTGAACTAGAAACTGAACAAGTGTTGAGTGCAAAAGAAATGTTCAACAGGAGAGACTCTGGTAGTGAAGAAGATACTTAGTAGGTATTAAACCCTGGGGTCCAGGGGCCAGCACCAGTGAAAAACAGTCTACAATAATTAGAGCCAGTAAAATAGTTAAGCAGAAAGCATCAAGAGTCATTGTTAGTAGAAAGAGCAATAGAGAACCACATTATAGGTTGGGGTTATATTAAGAAGTCAAAGAAAATTATTTTAACAATATTCTGTTAATTCCCTAAGATTTAATACTAATGTGTTTTGATCATATTTACTGCATCCCACAATCACTCCAGAAACACCCCTACCTGCCTAACCACAACTTTTGTTCTCTCTTTCTCCTTAGCTCTCTGTCTGTCTCTACTTCTCTCTATCTCTATATCTCTTTTCCTCCGTGTCTCTGTCTTTCTCGTTGTGTCTCTCTGTGTGTATGCATGTGGTGTGTGGGTGTGGTGATTATATAATTTTTTAGGTTGCATTCTTGTAAAGATCTACCTGCCTCTGCCTCCAGAGTGTTGGACTTAAAGGTGTGTGCTTCTCTACCCACTGTTATCTCTCATGCTGAAACTCATATAGTGCAGTTTGTATTACCCAAACACTCTTGGATTGGGCACTGCTCTGGAAGCATGATCCATGTTCCATGGGCCCTACTCTTAAAGAAAACTGACTCTTCCTTTTCTAAAAGTTATTATATATTAATAGTCCCTTAGCTAGGTAGAGAACAAAAAGTATTTTTAATCTCTTTAGTCATTCATAAAATACAATGCATGCCATGCCATGGTAATTAGAATGCCAGTGCAATTGTGTGCATCATAATGCATATTATATAATAAATTATATTCATCAGTAAATATTTTGACATTTGTAATTATGAAGACTCCAAACACATTAGCAAACTGAAATTGCTTCTTAGTGAGAGGATTCTCTCCTTATGAGGCATATCAAAGAGATTCCTGGAGGAATCTCCTTGTAATGTAACCTTTACCAGCAAAAGGCATATGAGTAGACTGTCTTTCATGAATGTCACTAAAACTTAATTTATAATCTCAAGTTTTCATATCACCAAGTCAAGCAATATGAATACTGTGAGCACAGTAAGAAATGAATTCTAAGATTAAAAACCATTAATAAATGAATACGTAAATAAAAAACCACTACATGCTAGTGAAATATTTAGTTGGCTAAAAAGCTAAAATAAATATCAAAAATTAACAGAAATACAGGAACAATTTGATGGGTCCATTGAAATGTGTGATATAAATATGTCTCTCTCAGGAACTAAATGATCAGTGAATTAAATAGGAAAGAATATAGAATAATATGCCAATACAAGTAACAAAGTATATAAATATACTACATGCCACATGACATAATTTGGGAATACAAATTATTATCAATCATACATGAACCTTCAGTTTAAGTGACCAAAAAGTAAACAGAAAAACAAGTCTAAGGAAAGTTGAGATAACTTTCATAATATTGTCTCTGCTTCCCAAGTGCTGGCATTAAGAATGTGTGCCACACCCACTTAAATCCAGTGTGTGTGTGTGTGTGTGTGTGTGTGTGTGTGTGTGTAAAATTGAGTACTTTTAAAAGTTCATGAATCAAGGAATTTTCCTTCCCAGGGAGAATCTGGGGATTGGAAAGTTTTCCTGCTCATTCACTATGGGTTTTGGAAGAAAAAGAAGTGAATTTGGGCCAATTCAAGCCCTTGTCTTTCAGATTTACTGCAGAATTATGCTAGACCTTCAAGCTGGAACAACACCAATGCTTCTCAAGCTAGTCCACAAAATACAAAGGAAAGGAACTCTTCCAAATTCATTTCACAAAGTCCTACTACTTAAACTGGAGTAGAGAAAAAAAAAATAGAGACTGGGGCAGGGATTAATGAAATAGAAACTAAAAGAATAATACATAGAATTAATAAACTATGAGTTGCTTCTTTGAAAAAACTCACCATATTGGCAAAGCCCTAGCCAAACTATAAGAAAATTAATTAATTAATTGGAGATGAAAAGGGCCTTCTTTGAGTAGACCCCAGTGAATCTTGGGAAATCATTAGGAAATACTTTGAAAAATTTTGAATGCTTGGAATAAATAGGCACATTTCTAAATACATATGATCTGTCAAAACTAAAACCAGGGTGTATAAGGAATTTAAAGAGACACATGACAAGCAATGAGATCAAAGCAATAATAAAAAGTCTCCTCATAAATTAAAATCTAAAACAATACAGATTATGAATGAATTCAGCCAAATATTAAGAAAGACATTATTCCAACTCTTCTTGAATTGTTCCATAAAATAGAAAGGGAATAGAAAGGGAAGGAACTCATATAATGTAGGATTACTCAGGTAACCATGTGACATCAAATGTGGCTAAAATGTACAATATGCCTGCAAGAACATGGCACAAATAAACCATTACTTTGTATAACAAATGTATGCTTATAAAAAAAAAAAAAAGCAGATTTTTATGGTTTATGGTGCTTCATGCTTGTAGTTCAGGCTTGAGCAGCTGAGACAAGAAGACAGACCACACCAAGTTTCATGGCAGCCAGGACTACATAAAATGTTCCAGGCTATCCTGCATTAGGGAGTGAGACAATGTCTCAAAAACAAGGCTAAACAAAAACAAAAAATAGGGACAGAAAACAAGACTACTGCCTTTATTCTTTTTCCTCAGCAATCTCATCAGCACTCAAATAGGCAGGACTAGGAGATGAGGAGAATTCTGGGAAAGGTTAGGTATGAGAGCCCACAAGAAACAGATGCCATGTTGTGGAGGAAGGAGTAACAGGTACCAACCCTTCTCCAGTAAGATAAGACCATGTGGAAATACCTAGATTAATAAAAATGGGTTAATAATTAAGACAGAGCTAGCCAATAAGAAACCGCAGCCATCAGTCAACAATTTATAATTAATATGGTGCCTCTGTGTTCATTTGGGGCTGAAGCAACAGGACCTGGCAGAACAAGAAAATCCAGTAACACATCCCTCTTGAAGGGATATCCAGGTGTTGTGAACTCCCTACTCCCAACCACATTGCCACATCCAACAGATGTCAGGGGTGGGGGTGGGGGACTGAGGATGAATTTTGTGAATTTCCATGGCTGCTTCAACATAACTGTTCTTGTAATCTAGGTATAGACCCTTCAGAAAGGTTTCAAGATTTCCTAGAGGGAACTGGTCAGTTTGCTGTTGAACTGGTGTCTCCATAGATAGAGGAGAGACATGGGCTTCCTGTTCTGCAATCTTTCTCAAATACCCAACATAAATTATTACAGTGATTTTTAAAGCACGCTTTACACGAGTAAATGTGTTCTCATAGTTTGACTTTGACAATAACAATAGTTGACGCTCTTAGGAAGCTGTCCCCTTCCATGTGTTGCACTTACTGGATCAATGTTTCTTTTCAGCTACACAGCATTTTCGTTTTCCTGCTGGCTCACATATGCTGGGAAGAAGCTGTGCCAAGTGGAAAGCTGCAGATCCACACCAGCCACAAAATCGTTCTTTCTTTTGGTCAACTGGAACGAAATGTAAGTTTAATCTTTATTCTGGCTGTGCTGGCTAGCTAAGAAAAGGCAGCCCGTCTTCCATTTTAAACAGACCACGTTGGACGAGTGTGAGAAAGACAGACAGAAACAGACACACACACACACACACACAGAGAGAGAGAGAGAGAGAGAGAGAGAGAGAGAGAGAGAGAGAGAGAGAGAGAGGTGCTTGGCCACCAGTTAAAGTCCATTGGAATTCCTAACCACCCATCTCATCCACATGACTGAACTGAGAAGCAGGGAAAATTATAAGTAAGATAGGCACAACTGTTCATTCACATACTGGAGATCAGGAATATTCTTTCCAACTCATGTAAACCAAAATCCAAATCATTTAGTGTAGATCGCTGGCTGTCTGATCCTGGCCTTTACATACCTCTAAGTTTTCACTTCTAGGACTAACCCTAGTCCCTGCCTCTCCACCAGATCTCTGCCTGGAACAGAGATCACACTTTGACAGACCTTCTCTTGGGTCAGAAATGCATTACATCTCTCCATCCACCTTGAAAACACCCCTTAATTTCCTTCTCCTCAATTAACCCTTTCTACATTGTGATGTCCATTTTTTTTTTCTTTCACTGTTGGGTTTGAACTCTGGACTTCTCTCAAATGAACATGTTATTTTGTATTTCTATCAGCATCTGCTAAGTGATAGAGATTGTTTTTTAAAGAAAGTTTCATTATTTATCAGTGATAAGAGCACAATGTAGAATAAAAGTTCAGTAAGGGTTACTGATTAGTTGATGATTTCTTTTGTATAACCAAGGGCTCCTTTAAAATGTTAGTAACCTGCTTAGTTGATACAATTATTCTTCCAATTTTGACTAAAACCCATTTCTATTTATTTCCAAAATTAAATTCACTTTCACTTCAAGAGAAAAAATAAAGTCTATTTACACAGTCAGCTTCATAGAAAAATGAGGAACTCATTAATAGTTTTGAAAATGGTATTGATGTGTTTATTTTCTTAAAGCTGTTTTGGGTTGTTTTATTTGTTTTGTTTTTTTGTTTTTTGTAAGAGATCCGTGCATTCTTCCAATGGACTTAGGTATTTCAACCTAGAATCAAGATTCATTTTGCTTCCCTTAAACATATTTACATTCCATTTCCCAAGATCCCAAAAAGAGTTTTACATAATTTATTAGCATGTATTTGTTGCAGTGGAGTTGAAAGTGCATTTCATTGCTAAACTTTAATGCTAAGCACCAAACTGTCTCCGGTTTGCAAAATGTCTCTAACGCAGAAGGGAAAAAAATTAGTAACAACTCATTTTTACTTTCTAAATTTTTATGTACATTCGTGTATTTGTATGAGTATATTCCTTATATGTGAGTATGCCCATAGAGACCACAAGAGGATGTCAGATCCCATGGAGCTGGATTTGCAGGCAGTTGGGAGTTACCTGGCTTGTGTGCTGGGAATTGAACTCTGATCCCCTAGAAGGACAGCAAGTGCTCTTAACTACTGAATCAACTCTTTAGCCCTTATTACAGTATTTTATAAACTATGTGTCTCCTTTTTTCCCACTAAAATGTTCATTCTTTTGTTTTTAAGTAGTCATGGAGAATTATTATTAATATTATTATTGTTGTTGTTGTTGTTATTGTTATTATTTTGGAACTAGCTCTTATAGACCAGGCTGACCTCAAACTCATAGAGATCTGCTTGCTTCTTCTTCAAGAGTGCTGGGATTAAAAGCATGCACCACCACTGCCCAGCTAGTCATAGAGAAGTTTAAAAACAAAAACAATTTCCAAGTAAATGGGAGTCTATATATATTCAGAAGATGAATACAGCACTATTTAGCATGCATGTACTCTTTCCTAGAAGTGGTTTTTGTGGAAGTGAATGAATGATTGGCCGCAACCATCAACTGTAATGTCTCTGTCTTTTTCATTCTTAATGTGAAAAGCTCATGTTATATAGGAAAAACCAGCTCTTCTGAGGAAAAAGAACTTTCTAGGTTATGTGAAAAAAGTGGAATAAGATTATAGCTTCCATCACAGAAAAATGGAATCGCAATATAGAGTCAATTATAGATAAAAGAACATTCAAGAAAATACTGTACCTTCTACATTATCGTCAACATTTTATGTCAATTCAGAGACTTTTAAACTCAGAAACATTTGAATGTGGAAACTATGAAATAATATAAGTGAAAAATACTTAGAAACCAAAATATGCCATGTTTTAGTACATCTTAATTTTGCCCATCTTTAAAAGTAGATTTCCAACACGGTTGTCTTTGTCCCATCATTCTCCCCTAATTATACACTAAAACTGCACTTCTTTTCTCCAAAAGGCACACTTTTATGAATCAAAATCTTAAACCCACAGCAGGTAATATAAATTATTATGTGACTGACTGAAAAAAAAAAGAAATGGATGAAAAACACAACCTACTATGTGACAGCCATTGTGTCATGCCACCATAATTTCCTGGGTAAGAAAAAACAAGACTTAGGAAGGTTGAGTGAATTGCTGATTTCAAACCATCTTGTCTAGCACCAGCATGGCCAATTTTTCAACACACAAACTTTCTAATCCCAAAGGGGGACTCAGTTTGCCCACATGCAGCTTTCTCATTCATATCTCACAGTTGCTGCTAACTTTGGTTCAATCCCAGAATCCTCTTCCCTGTTTCTATCAGTTAAATTATGGGTTACATTACAGAGTAGAAACTAAAACTCACCATCAACCTCTTACTTTTCTACTGTCAGTCAACTTTCTTTTAAAATACCTCTTCTGGTGCTGTGACTGAGTTACTCTATTATCACCCCTAGGTGCTTCTTTAAACATATGTGCCGCAAGTAAATATAGATGAGTGATGTTTTCTTGGGCACATTTCCCCATAGTATGCCCTCACCAGTCTCTGCTCTCTCTGAGCAGGGTGTACTGTTCCTCAGATGCAGCCAGTGCTGCCTACCAGTTCAATACACCGGCCCTCTGCTGCCCAGTAAGTGGTGTTTCTGCACTCTTGAACCCCGTTCCCCTCCCAAACCCAGTGCTCCAGGACCTGAGCTCAGAGCATCTCAAAGGCAATGTATCCTGCAGCCATAGGTGTTGGTGTTTTTCTGTAAATAGCTCTTCATAGTTTCATCCTTTTCGTTCAAGAATTCTCTTTTGCCATTGGGGTCAAGTTCAAACTTCTACCGTTGTTACTCAAATATCTTAGGAATTAATAGGAATTAAGGATTTTCTGTTCTCCGAATTGTGTCATCTTCTACTTATTTCAACTTGACTTCAATTTTTTTTATAGCAGCCACTGTGAATTCTCAGGCACAGCTAATCTTTTATTCATATATTTTCTAGTCTATGTGTTGCATGACTGTTCCTGGAGAGGTGTGACATACATGTATTCACCCAGATACACAATTGATGTTATACCAAAACACAACTCTACCCAAATCTAGTTGGTGAGCTAATCAGCTTATAGGGCTAATTATAGGAGCATAGGTAACTCAACAGGAGGCTGCTGTAAAGCCCACACCAGCACTGACAACAGAGAATAAGGTAGTAGGGAAAAATAAATAAATAAAAATCACTTGTAACCTTGCAGAAGGATCTTGGGAATCTCATGACTTTTTCTTAAACTTCAAACTTCCTGAGGTTCCTAAGCTTGATTTCATTAGCTTCCTGAGCCTTAATGAGTCTCCTGCGATAGGAGGGAATATTTTAAATTACAAGAATCCTCTTATCTTCCCCACACTGTGCGTTACACACTTTTTCCTTCTTGGAATGGGTTTCTGAAATTCCATCTTATTGCAGCCTAGCCTGAAAGATTCATGTTTCCTGGGCTGGTAAGATGGTTTATCAATTAAGGCATTTTAAACAAGCCTAATGACTTGAGTTTGAGCCCCAGAAACCATATGGTAGAAGGAAAGGACTCCAGCAAGTTGCCCCCTGTTCTTACAAACAAGCCAAGCCACACACACACACACACACACACACACACACACACACACACACACATTAAGATCCACTTTACTTATTTACTCCCTAAGATAAATTTAACCAGTCTCTCCTATGTGCTTACAATATGGTATGAGAGTCAGATTATGCTATATTATATGACTCTACATGTCAAAATTATAAGGAGTAAAAGTATTACTTATTGAGTATCAGCTTACATATCTCATTAGAATTTTCAAGAGGACATCTCAATTCAAATGCTCAAATATTTTTTTCCAAAATAATTACAAGAAAATGTTTGTAAAATCATGGATATAATTGGATACTTCCTTTGCTTTTCAGAATCAATTTTCCTCTTGAAATAAAATCACTTCCAAGAGAATCTATGCTTATTATAAAAGTGTTTGGGATTGACTCTGCCACCCACAGTGCAAATCTGCTGGCCTGGACCTGCCTTCCATTGTTCCCAAAAGAGTAAGTATATCATCCTATCATCCCTGATTAACAGAGCTCTGGCTCCAATTCAACCTTCCGGGAACTGAATGTTCTTCAGGTTACGGCATAATGAGAAAAATCAAGAGGAACATTTTATACTGAAATGAGGTAGTTCAATATAAATCATGAGCATTGAAATTAGAACAGAAGAGCAAAGACGGAGAGCTGGCTGTACCAGCATCCCATGCTCTCTCATCGCTGGGTCATCTACAATGGAGAGGCGAGGGCAAGACCGGTCTCAAGGACCCTCTCTCCTTCAAGCAGCCAACTTCTCTGGAATTAGTAATCCAAAATGACTGTACTATCATTTAGGGCAAAAGCCACAAAATTTTGACTAAAGTAAAATTATAAAACAAGACTGTTTGCTGGTCTCTTATTGCCAAGAACATGCTTGGCAACTTCCAAAAAAGAAAAAAAAAAAAATCACAGAACTGAGTTCAGATATTCTCAGATTTAACAGCCTTTGCAAAGTCAACTGTTTCTTTAACCAATAATTCTTGAGAATTATTCATGCTTAGAACATAAAGTAAAGTCAACTAATGATTGCCTATGCTTTTAAGGGTGCAAATCTCCAAAAGCACCAATGTATTTATTTATTTATTTATTTATTTATTTATTTATTTATTTATTTATTTAACACAGGAAGCTGGCTTTAGCATCAGATGACAAAACCAGGAACCTTAAAACAATCAGAACTTACGTTGCTATGCTAATATTAGTATAAGGCACGCTTCTGCACATGTTGTCTTTGAAAAACCTGGTGTTAAGGAAGTGTTTAAAGTATTTCTTTTTCAGTTCTCAGTTCCAACATTCAGCAACTTAGACAGATTTGATCAAGCCAACCATATCAAACTTTAAAAATTCATTGGATTGTTTTTGATCTGGACCCTGTGTGTGTGTACCTGTTTGTATAAATGTATGTGTATACGTGTGTGTAAATTGTGTGTATCTGTCTCTGTGCATATGTCTGTATGTATATATGTGTATATGTATGAGTATCTCTATATACATGTGAGTTTGTTTGTCATATGTGTGTGTGTGTGTGTGTGTCTTGTGGGTAAGTACACGTGTGTCTCTGTGCATGGACATGTCTGTGGCTTGATTTGGGTTTTGATATCTTAGCCCATTTCCATGTGTGTATTGAGGACAGGGAATGTATTGATCCCTGTAATGTCTGCCATCTTACATAATGCATCATATAAACAGGCAATCAATAGGGGTATTTTTACTAAAAAAAAAAAAATCAATCCCTGCAGGTATATTTTGAAAGTCTACAAAAACACAAGTTAGCTCTAGAAGGAACGTCTGCTGCTGTTAGGAGACATTTCAAATATCTGACTTGAGCACTAAGAGCATCCGTGACCATCCATAAGAAACCCTGCACAGGCGAGGTGTCCTTTGCCCCATGAGAGAGTTTATTTGCAGTTTCATCTGCAGAATTTTAGATATAAACGCGTCCAGTACTCTTGTAAAGCCACATTTCCAATCATTAACTGAAAAGAGCATCCATTCGGTGCCCTTGTTTCTCCTCACCAGCCTGCCACATGCAGGGATGCCAGGACAAATGCTGGCTCTGTGTGGACGTGCATCACTGACAGCTGTTTGCAGGGAATGGTCTTCCAGCATGGGCGTCTGCGGGAAGCAATTATCTGGGATTGATCCAATGTGCGATGATTTTGCAAGGAAAAGAATGTAAAGTAATGATGATGCCGCATCAGAAAACACAACAAACTAATATGATTATTTCAACAAGCATTTGAAAATATACTCCCAGTAGTCTGTTTCTCATCAAAACCAGAAAAATCTCCATCTCCCCTGGGATAAACAATCGAAAGAAATGCAGGGTGTTCTAAGACATCAGAAATCCATCAGGTGTGACTGTTGAGACACAGCCACAAACTCCATTTTGCACCTCACTACAATTTGCAGCAAATCTTATTCAATTTATTCCCTGTAGATATTCTCATATCATAGAAAAGTAGTATTGTGCCTCCATTTCCACTCACAGGATGACCCTTGCCCATAAACATTTGATATTGAATCTCTTATTATAGTTTGAATTGCCCCTCACCAGCTGTGTGCAGTTGTAATGACCACTTATATTGATATTGTTCCCAACATGCACATGACCTCAGAATAGCTTCCTGGAGGCGTTCTGTCTCTTTATCCCACCCCCTCCCCTCAAGTGGGCTTTTGGAAAGAAAAAAACAATGGTGATTAAGCTTGTATGTACCTATGAGGGATGCATTAGTTAATGTCTACACATAAAAACAGGCTTTGACATTTGCAAGCATCGAAAGAAAAACATCTCAAATCCAAAGGAAATGTTTGGTGGACGAAGTAATGTAAGCTTCTTTTGTAGACAAGATTGTTCCTGCATCTGCATTCACAGTGGGCTAGTTCCTCTCCTACTGCAGCCAGGCCAGCTTTCTTTCAGCACAACAATGTCCAAGAACTCCAGCCCCAATTTAAGTTCACAATTAAATAGTGTAATTGCTACTTAGCCTTTTTTTTGTAGAAGATTCTTGGAAAAATATTTCCTACCTTGACTGAACAATAGCATTTTCTTGAATGTTATAATATAAACACAAATCCCAGGTATCCCCCAAAGATTCTAAGTCAGTTATTCTTTTTTCCATTTATTTTGTCTTATTTTTTGAGAGAAACAGTATTTTCAAAACTCATGGGGTGAATTAAAGTCTTAAAAATAAAAATCATTTGCAGAATTTCAAACATGACCCCAAATCATTCTTGATCTCTAAACAATTTTATTCCTTGGACAATTTCCTGAGCTGTTAATGCTGAGCTGCTCATTTCAACTCTGTTTTGGAATTAAGTGGTAAACAGAAGTTGTGCTGTTTAAGCTCATTGGTTTTCTTCTGGTCCATGAGAAGCCCTCAGCCCAGTTGCCACACTCGGCAGTGAGCTGTGTGGAAAGGTGGTCCTGATGTAAGTCGTCAAACAGTTTAAAAATAGACCAAAACCAGAGTTCAGGGCTGAGTCCTTGTCTTAGCTTTTTCTGTCTTTAACTGCCTACCTTGCTGCTTTGAGATGCCACATCCTCCTCCATGAATGCACTGTAAAAAGGTGCACCCTACACAGGCTCTGACCTCGGCATTACAAGGGCTGTCCTTTTAGATATGAACCCAAGAACTCTCAGGCACTCAAAGGATTTCATCACATCAGTTCCTCTGGTTCATCTGGCCACCCAGTGACTTAATCCTCTAGGTACTCTGGCTCCAGATGCTGGGAAGTGACAGAATAACTCCTGGTCATTAAACACAATAATCATCATTATTTTGTTGCAGGGTAAGGGAATCACAATCCAGCATATTTGGGGTTGAAATTTTTAATCATTGAACTAATAATCAAGTTTGAAAGACCTTAGGGATATGCTGGGAGAAATACCCTAAAACTGTATGAACAATAGTGGAGTCTAACTCCTAAATGTGCCATATCTTTTAAAGCCCTCAAAGCATAGGTAGGGGTGATGGATACTTCAGGCATGCTCGGTAGTGGGAGTTTGTGATCATGTGGTCAGGTCTAGGTAGTGTCTCCCTACAGTCCTTCTGAAAGCCTCCTGCACTTCCAGAAGAGCCACCACATGGTGAGAATGTTTTAAAAACATCAATTTTGTCCAATAAATTCCAAGAAGCTTAGTTAATAAAGGCTGGCTGATTCAGGCAAGCTCCAGACATCCTAATACAAAGTATAATGTATGTAGACTGCCTTTGTGACGTGTGTGTGTGTGTGTGTGTGTGTGTGTGTGTGTGTGTGTGTGTGTGTGTGTATTACAGACTAATAAATATTTTCACCATGGTAACTTATTATATTTTAATTTATGTGTATGGATATTTTGCATTCATGTATGTCTGTGTACCACTTGAGTGCCTGGCCCCCATAGAAGGGCTATTGAGTCCCCTAGTATTGGAGTTACAGATGTAGATGAAACACTAATATTAAAAAGAAGCTTTTTCCAAATGGATCAACATAACAACATCCTCAGTGACTAGTCAGGTCTAATTCCTAGTGCTCTCATGGCCAGTGAAATTCTAGGGAAAGTCCCCATCTCCTGAAGCCACTAATACTCTTCAGATATGTTTTGTATTCCTCATTTCTACTAATCATTTTCCAGACATGTTGTTTATTCCAGTCTATTACATGAAAATAAGCTCCTTAAGGATAAGCAAACAATCATCTCCAAAACAATGCCACACATTTTTGGACCCTCAAAAGACATTCAAGTGTTATAAGCAATTTCCCCACCAGCCTGATCCCTGAGCCATGTCAGCCCCAAATAACACACAGAGACACTATTAGATATAGAGCTGTTGACCTGTTACTAGTATTTCTTATTGCCTAGCTGTCTTAAATATTAACAAATTTCTATTAATGTGTTTCCACATAGTCTTATCTTACCAGAGAGAGGATCCCACCTCTACTCTCTCAAGTCACTACATCTTGACCCTCCTCTCTCCTCCAAGAATCCCACTTGTCTCCAAGTCCAATTGCTTTCCTACTGGCCAACAGAGATTTATTCATTAACCAATAAGAAAAACATATTTACAGAATGACATCTCCCATCATCTCCTCTTTTCTGTCTAAATAAAAAAAGGGTTTTAATTTTAACATAGTAAAATATATTTTAAAAACAGTTGACAAATAAGAACTATTGTTAACAATATTTAGTCCACTAACAATTAGCAAGATTTAAAGAAAATATTCCATCATCTGCCCTATCTTTGTGAGTCTAAAGTCTTATATGTAACTTAATCCTAATTAAGTGAAACTAACTATAACTATCTGTCTTCACCGCCATCAAAGACCACAGAAGGACAATATATAAACTCTAGAAATGACAGAGACATCTTGCTACCTGGTCAGTCACCTGAAGTTCTTCTGTAATGTTCCATCTTCAGCCCATAGGCCATAGTGTGTCTGGCAGACTCCTCAGCAAAGCAGAATATTTCAAACTGTCCCACCTGTGTTGGCAGTTTATCAGTCACTTTTCTCTGTGTCCTGCAGACTGTCTGGCAGACTCTTCCATGAAGCAGGAACCCTACAGCAATGTCCATCTTGTTTCAGCAGTCACTTTTCTGTGGGTCCTGCATGTCCAGTTTACACAGCATAAAGTCAAACAGTCCAGATGAGAGCAGTATCTTGCCCAAATGGCTAGTCTTGCCATATTGGAAGTGAACTCCATAAGGAGTTACTTAGATGTCCATCTTCCTTTATGAAGCAGCTGGTATTGCCAGAGCAGCAGTGTCTCACTGTCAAGAAAAACCCTAAACCATTTTAAATGCCATATTTTGTAGGTCTTTTGAAAAGTTTGAAGAATGCCTATCCATTTAAAATATATCTCTGTGTGTCTAGAAATCCTAACTAACTTAACTATAAGTTTTGACTATTAGGTAACTATCTATAATTTGAACTAAATTATATATTACATTTTAAAATGAGCTATATAAATGCAATACCTAAACAGGAAGAGAAATATACTTATCACAAAATTGACCTTAAGTTTGTATCAATAAATGAAAATCCATTCCAAAACAAAGTATTCATTTCTATACCATAATCCCCTTCTTACCACAGAAAAAGAGATTGGTTGTGATCATTTATAACTATTTATAACCAACCCCATATAAGTGGAAACAAATATAAACAGTATTTGGGGATTTTGGGCATCATTCTTTCCAAACTGCTTCATGCTGGTAGGGGGCGCTGTCTTGGGGATCCTAAGAAGAAACAGAAATCCTGGCTATAGTGGTCTGCAAGGCTGCCTTGTCCCAGCTGTTTAGAATGTTGAATCACCTGGGACACTGCTTCAGGGGGACTTGCTTGATCAAACCTTGTTAGTCTGGAAGGAATCCACAGCTTTTCATTTTCTGTGCAGAAATTCTTTTCTCAAGTAACCTGTCCTTACACTTAAATTTTGAAGTCAAAGCGTTTTTAAAATATATAAATTAATTCAGCAGCATTGATAATCAAATGTATTGTAACAATTGTTCCTTCTTTAGCCACTAAGCAATTCAAAGACAACACAATAGCATACAGTATCCAGACTCTCTGTGTATTTTTTATTTTTTATGTGTTTTTTTTTTTATTACTCTTTTTCTTTTACATCTGTTTTTTCATTTATTGAGACAGGTTTTCTCTGTAACTTTGGATGCCCTGGAATTCACTCTACACACCAAGTTCACTTAGAAATCACAGAGATCTGCTCACCTCTGTCTTCAAAGTGCTGAAATTAAAGGCCTGTGCCACCACGCCCATATACTGTCTTTCTATTTTTTTCAAACCAGTTTATCCTGTTTCTTTTTATCTCCCAAGCCTTAAAACATACTGTAAACCTTTAGAGGTTTTTCTTTATCCGAATCTGTCTTTACTGTAAATCTTTATCTTTTTCTGGCCACGAGACTATCTGGTAAACATTGCTAAATGAAAGCCACAGCTGTTTTAGTCTATCCAAGATGGCGGGGGTACATTTACCATCAGCACTGAGAGCTATGCTCACCGCCTTGGTCTATGCTGCCATCAAGCATCATGCTGCTGGCATGGAGATGTGGTCACTGCCATTGCCAACTCTTGCACACACCGTTCAGTTGTTAACAGGGTTTGCTGCTTATGCTGAGTCAGGAAAACTCCCTTAAAGGATCCATGCAAATCTCTGCTGGTCTCTAACAAAACAGAGCCCAAACCAAACCCCCCCCCCAAAAAAAAAGGAAAAAGAAAAAAGAAAAAAGAAAAAAAAAATGCCGCTACCAAGAAGACTTCTTTGTCTCTATTATTTTGTTTTTAAAATCCTTTCTTAAGCTTTTGTTAAGTTTTAAGTGGAAGTTCTTAGTACCCACATTGCAGACGCCATGTTGTTACAAGCAGTTTTCCCACCAGCCTGGTCCCACAGCTGTGTCAGCCCCAAATAACACGCAGAGATGCTGTATTAGATATAAAACTGTTGGCCTGTTACTATTGTTTCTTATTGGCTAGCTTTGTTTTAAATATTAACCAATTTCTATAAATGTAAGTGTTTCCACGTGGTCTATCTTACCAGAGAGATGGTCCTGACCTTTTCTCTCTCAAGTCTGTACATCTTGTACCTCCTCTCTTCTCTCAGAATCCTCCTTGTTTCCTAGTCCAGCCTACCTTGCTTTCCTATTGGCCAACAGGGCTTTATTCATTAATCAATAAGGGAAATATTTACAGAATGACATCTCCCATCATTAAAGTTTGTATACCATTACCCTCCACTGTCCATCTGGACTTTCATATTCTTTATGCCCCCTTTCCTGAGCTCTGCATGCCCCACTTCTACAGCAAGAGTTCTGACTTCATTCTGCATCCTGTGCCAGAGAGTAGAGGCTGAGAAGACTCTTCCAATATAATCAAGCTAAGGTCAGAAAGCACAGACATCCTTAGATTCTTTCTTGATGGATAGAAACCAGCTCAGACACATCAAATGTGTTTTGCTTTAAATGTGGCAAAGACATAATAGTACAGTAAAATCACAAATATAACACATTTTTCAAATGCAGGTGTAAAAATACAACTAACTTCTCATGAGCTCTATCCTGCAAGTAATGAGGGCAAAAGCCTCTCCACTTACAGCCAAGTACTGGCTGGTTGAAGTATGAAATCTCTTTTGGATAAAAATGCCTAGTCACTTAAATAGCTTTCTTACATGCTGCCTCTCTTCCTAACAAGATGAAAGTGCAAACAGGGTTAGACAGGAAAGGAAAAACTACAAAGATCCTGTAGTCTGCTACCTCTGACCCCCACCCCAGACCACAGTCACCTTCAAAGCTTGTAGCTACTTGGTCTGTCAGAAGCTCTTGGATAGTACAGCTCCTTAGGGATCTCCCAGTATAGCTAGGGGTACTGGATTGGCCTGAGGTAGGTTATCTCAGCCACCAAGAACCATCTGAGTTTTTCTGCCAATTCCTGAATTGGTTGGTACCAAAGATGATTTATAATAAGCTTACATTTATTTTTGTCAAATAGCCTATTTTCTGGTTTGGTATGTTGAAATCAAAGACTATTCTTAGTTAATGGTTGGAATATGGTACCAATATTCTAATTTGTACACAGGTACCACTTAATTATTTTTGTACAAAGATCTGTGGATTTAGATGTTATTGCAGCCATTGGAAACCTTTGTGGTTTCCTCCCTGGTTAAAAGCATTTCCTGTATGCTTTCTCATTTACTATGATAATTTACAACCGATTTTTAAGGATTCTGAACATGAAAAATTCTTTCTATTTATATATAAAAGAACATTTCTCTTGTGAAGTCCTACAACTATTTTGATTCTGCAGCTCATATGCTGTGCTAATTTAAATATTGTCTTCCTATAAATTTAGAATCTTTAAATGCCCAAGGAAATTAGTTACTCCATGGGGAGGGAGAAAAATACCCTTTGAAGAGCTACTATCCGTCCTGAGTTCAGGCACCCCAAAGTCCAGAGTGCAAATCTGAAACGCCTAATTCCACTTAGTCATCACCATTGATAGCAGTCACTAACACATGCCTGCTAGGAACTACTGTAAAAATAGCCACACATGGGAAAAAAGCAGTGTCTTTGAAAATGCCCTTGCATTTGCCAAGTTAGCAGTGAGCTCTTAATCAGTGTCTGGACTTGTGGGATACTTTATTTCTCCTCTAGCTACTGAATGAAGCTACAGAAATAAGTGCAGCTTTCCATCCCAGAATAAGCATGTGCAGACATGCATAGCTTTCCTCTTATAAAGTGACTCCTGTCTGTCTGTACGTGTTATCTTTTTCAGAAAGTCTATGCTGGGGTCTAGACTATTCAGCATGACATTCCAGAGTGAGCCTCCCATAGAAATGATAGCTCCGGGAGTATGGGATGGGAGCCAGCCTTCCCCACTGACCCTGCAGGTAAGTGTCAAGCTATGAGATTCAACTTGCACACAAAATATGCAGGTTGTTAGGCAATGAGGTGACCAGTTACAGAAACAATTTCTTCCAGGGTCACACATTATACATGTTCCCTTCCTTCAGCCTAGCCTAGATCTGGATGTCTTCTGTATCTTTTGTTTAATGCCCAGTACTCTCTAAGCCGTTTTTCTGTCAGCTTATATAATAGTGATACAATGCATTTCTTCATCATCCTGAAGGATGGCAGAGAAGTCTTGTTATCAACAATCTCCTTAAATGTATCCAATCCTTCTTCCTATTGTCTAAAATGACACTGTTGTATATTATTAACCCAGTACCTTACAGGTGATTTTTGCATTGTCACACATCACTAAAATATCTTCTACTGGCGTCTTTCTTCAGTGACTGGGTCGGAAGAGAGTATTTTTTGTACCTTTTTGTCTTAATGCATCTCTACTCTCTGTGATTTGTGATGGTGAAAGAAAAGTGTTCAATGATTACAGCTTTGGTTCACGCTTCTGGCAGCACCTCATTTGCTCATGTCTGGGGTCCATCTAGCCATATTGACTAGAGATCAGCAACACAGATGCAGTGCTATGTAGAGATTCAGGGGCGTGGACTTTCCATCTCTACGGAAGCTGGGCAGCATCCTCCAGAACACAGTTTCTCCGTCTTGGTAGCATTTTGGACTAGCTACTTCTTTGTGGTTCCATCCCTGTGCATGGTAGGATGCTCAGCAGCCTAGCAGATTTCTAACCAGTATAAGTATCCACTTCCCAGTTCTGGAAGTCAAAAACTGCCCCCAGATGTTGTCAAATGTACTCTGGGACCAAAATTGCCTTCTACTTATCATCATGTTGAAGATAACAATCATAGAGTCCCAGCTTACAGCTATGAGGTAAGGGGGTGTAAGGGGTAAGGTTTAGAAATATGCACAAAAAGATGTTGAAGACAGAAAAGAATGAATTCTACAAAAATGTGACTTCACTTCAGGGCAGAGAAAGCCCTTCCAGGAACCACTGAGTAACAGTACCCACCAGCTTGATGCCAAGAAACAGGTGTGCCAGGTCCGGATGTGCCGGACCGACTGGCACGTGCTGTGTTGTAACAGCACGTATGGAAATCCAGTATGGAAATCTACCGTAAACCTCATAAATATTCTCATGCTTAGCAAGTAGGAGTTAGCACACTTTAGTTTTAAAGTGCCCTTCCATTTTGATAAAGTGGATAGCTTGTTGCTGAAGAACCAATAAGGATACCTTTAAGCCCCCTAATTTAAGAATCCGAAGCACCACATGTCAGGCTTTCTGCTATATTGTAAAGTAAGAAATTGGTTCGAGAAGGAATTTTAGGGGCTGACTCTACTTGAAAAGTGCTTGTATGAGAACTGACATCTGTACCCAGAATCCACGTGAAAAAATGGCTGACTCTGTGCCATAAGCTTGCAATCTAGAGTGCTTGGGCAATGAGAAGGTAGATCCTTGGGACTTCAGTGGCCAGTCTGTTTAATTGAATTGGTGGATTCCAGGCTAGTGGCGGACCTCGCCTCAACATAATTTCTGGGTAGTGCTTGAGAAATGGCACGTGGCCTTGTATGTTAGCCTCCACATGCATACACATATGAACCCTCACATGCATGAACCCACATACACACAAGATTCAGAGATGGTAAAAATAAATAAATAAATAAATAAATAAATAAATAAATAAATAAATAAAAGCTTAAAAGCAGGTCCTAGAACCAGTGTTATGTCAGGAAATAGGTGTGGGTCGGAGGGAAAGACATCAGGCTGGCATTGGGGAAATGCATAGTCTCAGCTCTCTAACAGAAAACATCAAGGCATTAAATAAATCATTAGCCTCCTGTTTTGACCTCTGTGCGTCCTTACGATGTGAATGGCAAATGCCACAGGGCAGCCACCCAACTAGGAAAGGGGTGTGAGGAGTCACAGAGAATTGTTCTCCAGATCCCAAGACTGGGGAAGTGAACGGAAGCAGCAGACAAGGGAAGCGGGTGCTAATTCAGAGTGGAAACGCACGGGCAGACTTCTGCTTGCCTTTTCCTAGGGGTCCTCATCTTGTTGCTTGCACATGCATGTGATTCATTGGAACGACTCTATCAGGCTGTGTGCATGTGTGCAGGAGCGTATGTGTGCACATGCATGTAAAAGCCAGGGGTCAACTCGACCTCGTTTCTCCGGAGCCTCTCACCTTGATTCTTGAGATACGTTTCTCACTGCCCTGGACCTCACCAACTGGGCTAGGCTGGCTAGTCAATGTGCACCCCTAACCCAGAGATCTGCCTATCGTTGTCTCCTCAACCCTTCCAAGCACACACAACACGTTCTGAGAGAAAGCATGTTTGCCCTCCCGAGACTGACTTCCTTAACGTATTGTGAGAATCTCTAGTTTCACCCATCTTCCAGAGAAAGAGGCATTGCACTTACCCAGTACTGTTTCCTGCAGCTCCTCCTGGTGACTAAGCTAGGAAACCAGCACGGGGCTAATATTCAGGGTCTCTTCACTTGATGACAGACACCAGAAAGGTGAGGTATAGAAAAGAAAGGTTCTTAAACTCCCATGGAAAAGAAACACATAACTTTGTGGAAATTTCATAGATTGTTATCCTTACGCCACAACACCGCAGGTAACTGATGCCGGCTTATTAGACAGCAGCTCCAAGCTCTAATGATTCTTCTTAAAATTATGTTAAAACAATGAAAAGCACAAAATAGAAATTACTGTTTTCTTTCATTTCTACAAATCCAAAGTAAATATTATGAAATGATAAATGTTATTTGCATGCTATGTGTAGTACACAGAAAACCACTTCTTTGTTTCAGATTGACTTTCCAGCTGCCGGGTGGGAGTATATTAATCCCGATTCTGAGGAGATCGGAACCGACGCTGAAGAACCACCAAGAGAGTGTTTAAAACACATTGCCAGACTTTCCCAGAAGCAGACTCCCTTGCTGTGAGTGAGCCAGGCCTGAGAATGATTCTCTGTGTTCTCATGCTCTAATCAGCCACACTGCAAACACCCATATCTTCCGAGAGGGCTCCCGCGGTTGCGTGCAGTCCTCTTACCCTGAGGCAACCGATGCTAGACGATCGGTTAACATGGACAAACTATGAAGTGGTTTTGCCTCATTTACAGAGATGTCTGATGGGGTTTTAGCAACTTTACCTTTAGATTAAGGAACGGTATGGCATTAGAAATAATTCAATTCAAAGTACTAAAGGCAGACTGATGAGGTAGACAGCATCACATCTCAGAGGGGGGGAAAACATTGCTCAGCTATCACTCAATACATTCTAGGAAACTGTTTTAGAAAGAAGGGAAGTTGGAATTTAATTATCATGGCAGATATTTAAAAGAACAGAAATAAATCATCTCTAATAAACACTAGGTCAGCTAGTAAGGAATTTTTACATTGGGTTAACCAGCAATTCTCTAAATTTTGTTGGAACTACAAAATAATTACTGGCGTTTATGCTTGCTGCCTGGTAATATCTGAGCCACAGCTTATCAACTGTGCTAATTCATAAATAAGGCAAAAGCACAAACTCAGGAAGTTGTACACACATGCATATATGCATCCGTATATACTTATACGTAGCTTGGACCACATTGTGATACTATGTATAACACAGAACATCTTATGTCAAGAAAAAATATAATTTAAACAGAGGAGTTATAAATTTTTTTTCTTTATTTTTTCTCCTAACCCTCCCAAGAAATCCCCCCATTCCATCCCCCATCCCATCCCCCACCCACTCCCCAGGGAGCATAAGGCCTTCTATGAGAGATCATCAAAGTCTGTCAAATCATTCAGGGGAGGGCCTATGCCTTCTCTCATGTCTCTAAGCTAAAGCAGTATCCCTCCATGAGGAATTGGCTCCTGAAATATGTTCCTGCACTAGGGATACATCCTGGTTCCATTGTCAGAGGTCCCTTAGACTGACTGCCCAGGGCTCCTAACTGAGATTCACATTCGGGGGATCTGGGTTGGTCTTATACTGGTTTCCCAGCTATCAGTCTGGGGTCCATGAGGTCCTCCTTGTTCAGATCAGCTGTTTCTGTGGGTTTCTCCAGCCTGGTCTTTACCCCTTTGCTCATCACTTCTCCCTCTCTGCAATTGGATTCCAGGAGTTCAGCTAGTGTTAACTGTGGATGTCTACTTCTGCTTCCATCAGCTACTGGATGAGGGCTCTAGGATGGCATATAAGGTAGTCATCAATCTCATCATCAGGGAAGGGCATTTAAGGTAGCCTCTCCACTATTGCTTAGATTGTTAGTTGGGGTCATCCTTGTGGATCTCTGGACATTTCCCTAGTGTGAGATTTCTCTTTAAACCTATAATGGCTCCCTCTATTATGGTATCTCTTTTCTTCTTTTTTCTATTCTTCCCCAGACTCAATTTCCTGTTCCCTCATGTCTTCCTCTCCCCTCCTCTTCTCCCCTTCTCTTTCTCCTAACTCTTTCCCACCACCCATTTCCCACCCCACAGTGCCTGCTTCCAATTTGCTCATGAGGTCTTGTGCCTTTCCCCTTCTGTGAGGGACCACATATGTCTCTCTTAGAGTCCTCCTTGTTTCCTAGCTTCTCTGGCAGTATGGATTTTAGGCTAGTTATCCACATCTATATCTGAAATCCATATATGAGTGAGTACATATCACGTTAGTCTGAGTTATAGTTTTAATGTGATCCCTGTAAACACAAATTTAAGAATGAATTAAAGAATAAATGAAAACAATAGTCCAAAAAGCAAGCAGGGAGCTAATGTGGGTTTCTAGGCAAGGCTTTGGGAGTTTTGCAAGACGGGAGCAATGGACTTTGGGAGTAGAGGCTAGATTTGGGAGAAACATATATCCACAGTTCAAAATGCAAGACACTGATTAGAATTTGGAAATGTGGCCCCTGAGAAGCCAAGAAATGTCAATGGAGAAGGCCAGGGTTTAAGTTGATCACTGGAGGAGCCCAAACATGAACGTCCAGTTCAGCTGTGGCCAATGTTGAGTCCTGCTCTAGTTTCAGCCCACACCACCGATGGTTTCATTCGCTTCAAACTGGTGATGTAATTCTCCTTCACAGGCTTCCCTGTGGTGCTCGCTCTCCAGCCCTGAAACTCCGATTGGGTGTTTAGTTTTCTGAATTACTCTTTCTTAAATTCTTTACATGAGTGGATCACATTGCCCTTTTAAGCTGTCTCTCAAATGCCATCTCTCACAAGGGGCCTTGGTTGACCACTCACCTAATGAAATATCTTCCTGTCTGCAGCCACAATTGCTACTCTGTTGTCACCAATCTCATTCACACTTAACTCTTATCACTCCTTTTCTAGAACGAGGAGAACAAGAATTACCAATCCCGGTTTTGTTGTGTTTTACTTATTGTTATGTTCCCAATCCTAGCCACTCGTTTTTCCTATATAATGTGTGGCCTATAAAGACTGAGGCATCCTTATACAGCATCCACCCTGCAAAGCTGTCTTTAGGACTTAAAGATGATGGAGGAGTCTCATGGTCCTCAAAACACAAACACTGACAATCTCTTTTCATGTGGTTGTCACTGCACCACATGAAAAACCACAAGAGTTCTACATTTAAAAAGTGTGCCACATAAGAACAGTGTTCAATGTGTTGCTATAAAACAAGAGATTTTAAAATAAAAAGGTGATGATATTACAAAGTTTTAAACATCTTAAAGCAAAAGGATCAGACCTTCTAACTAGATATATTCATTTAAATTTCAGGTGTTTGTGCTTTTTAATGGACCCCAAGTATGTGGTGTTTAATTTTACTTTTAATGTTTTTGAATTATAACTTTTATTTTGAGAATTTAAACGTATAAAGAAATTGGATCATTTCCACCTCTTCCAGCTCTCTCAAAACCCCTAACATGTTCTCCTGTGTGTGTGTTTGTGTGTGTATACATACATACATACATACATACATACATCCACTAAGTCTTACCAGTGCTGACCCTGTGTCCATGAATATGGGAACCAGACACTAGAGCCCTGGAAACTTATCAATAGCTGCAGTCTCAGAAAGGAATGAGTCACACCCCCAGTAAATGTGCAGGGCTAATTGATCCTCAGTGGGGATGTGGTATGGAATCTCCACCATCAATGTTAAGGTTTTTCACTAGCTCCATGGCTGCTTTGAATTCAGGAGTGCAACAGCCATGTGAAATCCAGGAAACAGCATTCCACAACTTGGCTCTCTGTCCCTAAGTCTTAGATGTTTTAATTTCTTCCCACTGATGCTCCCTGAGTCAGGCGGTAGTGGGTGGTTGATAAAGATGATTCATTTGGGACTCAACAATCACTCTCTTTCTGAGTTCAGTTCCCAGCACCTGTGTATGTGTATGTGTCAGGGTGCTTACAACTTCAAATACCGCTAGCTCCAGGAAATCCAAAACCCTCTTCTGGTTCCCATGAGCACACAGGCATGTGAGCACGCACATGTTTGTGCGCACGCGCGCGCGCATGCATACACACACACACACACACACACACACACACACCATAGACTCACACAGACATACACATAAAAATTCATTAAGACATACATGTTAACAGTTAATTAACGATCCCATTTGAATTCTACTTGTCTTTCTGCTTCAGATTATGTTTATGTTAATTGCATACATTAATGAAACAACATTCCCTTCTGTTTCACTTAAATATAATTATTCATGTGCCGCATAGACTCACTCTGGACTGTAGGAACAGATGGATCACAGCCTTCAGTGTGTGGAGTTTCCAAATAGCATTTAGTTTGGTGACTTAAATCACTTAATGCTTTATCATTTACTGGCTGAGTTAATTATCTCTTCTTTCAAATTAGCCTCATGTAATCAGAGTCAGGAAATTCAGACTCAAGATCCATTGCAAAGGTTCTTGTGCTAATTGCAAAAACAGAAAAGAAAGTAGTAGCTTCATGTCAACCATGTCCCCTATATGGGAAGCTGAAGGATAAAATATCTAAAAAAAAATTCATTTTGAAATTAGTCTGCTTCTGCATGACTTATACCTGAGACCAGATGGTTCCTGGGGACTTAAAGAATTTTAACACAAGCAAAATTCACAGGATGCAATTCTGTTTTCAGACATGAATTTCTATAAGCATTGAGATGAAGAATTTTTTGCAAAGAACACTGTGTAGTCTTGTTATTTTAACAGGAAAGGGTGGAGATCAGAGACTCATGATAATAACATAGCCAGAAACTTCAGAATGCAACATTGGCAGAAGGATGATAGGAAGTCTAGGGCATCTGCACTGGAGCATTTAGTTACTATTTATGACCAGGCATCCTTCCATGCCCTGCAAGGAGACAGAAGATTAGACTTTAGAAGTTGAGCAAAACCGAAGAACAGAAATTCTGACCATAAACACATACCAGATGTTTGATAAATGAACCAAAAAGATGCATACTAGCAGTAAGTCTACTGTAGAATATCTATGGACATGCACTGTTCTAAACCTGACCTAATGTATCATAACATGAGATCCCAGAAGGATCAGACTAGATTACCTGTAATTAACACTCCAGCGGGACATACTGATAAACTGATTCATGCAATACCAAAGAGATAGGACGATGTTCTCATCAGTATAGTATGCCTAATGCCTAATGGTTGTTAACTAGAAAATGATCTTGGATATTATCTAGCATGTAGTCAATTTATAAAAAAAAATTGATTATCCAGATAATATAGCTATAGGCTACATTGGAGTGATAGTTAATTTAAATAAATTCAGAGATTTAAGAAGCAGACAATGATTTCAATATAGTAGCACTAAGGAAAAATAGGAAAGCTTCACAAATCCAATTTTTAAAGTTATTCCACACATATAAATAGTAGAAAGAACTGGGAAAATAAGTTAGGAATCCCCAGCCTCTGATCTCATGTGCATTCAGAAATTATTGTAAAAGATGACAATGACTTAAACAAATAGGGAGAGCAGCAGCATTCATGGCAGAACCCGTGACCTGGACCACTTATAAGGTCAATGTGTGTTTTACAAAGATAACAAGATGATTACTGAAGAGAGAATTGGCTGCAATGGCTACTCTTGTGGAGTAGAAGGCAACTAAGAATAGTAGGGAGGAAGAATAAGATGAAAACTAAGATGGATCTTCTAAATCTTCTAAATGTGAAATGTAGGATGAAAAGGCTTTCTTAGAATGGATGTTAGGATAGACAGAAAGAGAGAGAGAGAAACAGAGAAAGGGGGGACAGACAGATGGACAGATAGAGAAAAATAGAGTTTGACTAAAGTTTAAAACTGTTTATCAAAAACATTAATTAAGATCTAAATATGAAAGATATTCTGGGAAAATGTGTCCAAAACATTTATATAATGAAACTGTTGTTTCAGTACAGGTAAAAATACAAATAAACCTAAATAATCCATTCAGATATCTTGTGAAATCTAGGAGACACAGCATAAAAAAGTATATATATCTATACAATAAGTAAATGAAGTAAATGGAAACTTGGAACCATTATCAGCAATTAGAAAGTATAGCACCAATAAAAGACACAAAATCAATTAATAATTGTCAAGAATGTGGTTCAATGGAAAGTCTCACAATCTCCATGTAAGAATGTGAAACCGTACAGGCACCTCTGGAAATTGACTCTTCCCTTTCACATGTACACAAGTGACTTATCTGCAGAGGAAGAAAATACAACCATTAAAAAGCTTCCATGTGTGTATTCCCGGCACTTTGATTTATAATGCCTCTCAAAAAAGGAAATAACTCATGGCCACCAAAGAAAAGATTACATAAGGAAATTGTATTGTATTCACACAAGAGAATAATAGCCACTAATTATAGAGAATGGACTATGGACACACTCAACAATACAGATAATTTCAAAATCATTTTTGAGTGAAAGTAGCCATAAATAAAGGATTATATTAATCCAGAGTGAAGGAAATCAACCCCGTGCTTGCCTCTGGCAACATGGAAAAAGAATGGTTTTGTACATTGACAGGAATGAAGTTGCTAGTTGGCAAATTCATTTGTCAAAATTCATTGAACTGATTCTCTGTTTTCTTTTATGTAAATTCTGCTTCCTGAGAAGCAGCATGGGGGAAAGGCACCACTCAGGGCTACAGAAGAAAGTTAACCAGAGCAACACATCCCACGGTCTTAATACTGATGGGGAAAACAGTAACAAACAAAAGAATATAGGCCTGTTATAAAAGTCATCTGGACATGTCAATGATTTCATCACAGGTGACAGGGACTTCTGCCTCTCCGATCATCTAATATTTCTCATACTCTCCTCAGAAGTTTTGGCTGATTCAAGATAAGATGGATTATTGTTTGGGCAAGGCAAAGGTCAAAGGTGGACAAAGAAATGGTCATGTAACAGATGTCCTCTTAGGGTACTGTTCTCTGAACAAGTTCGTTGGGCTGAGAGCATTATGATAAACGACCCAGAAGTTAGGTCTCTTATTCAGGTGGATCAAGTAAGAAAGTGTTATCAGGGATGTGTTCACGCCAAATTTCATTGAACTCTGTCACCCAGGGACCAGCCGAGATCTTTGTGAAGTTAGGCAAAGAGCTAACTGTGGTGGAAATTTGGCTAACTTGGGACTCTGGTGGAACAGCTCTGAGAAGTTAGGTGATGCCTTTCCTTCACATACCCACTTGCCTCTCTACTGATTTTTTGTAAGGGAAGAACAGGGAAATAAGACTTCCCCTCAGATTGAGTTACAAGACACATGTGACCTGCCCTGGATGAGACAGATGCTTTGCCCACAAAAATGAAATATTTTTAAAGCAATGATAAGAGGGTAGAAAAAATGTGAATGCCACAAAATGCAGGTGGTTTTTATGTTTTCAGCAAAGAATACACTTATTTTCGGCAGAAAATAAGCTGATAGAATAAACTATCAGACTGCTTCATGATAGAGGACCAGTTTTCCAATATAAACCAAAATACAAAAAAAAAAAAAAAAAAAAAAAAAAAAAAAACAAAAACAAAAAAAACAAAAACAAAAAAACACACAGAAGGTTTTGTTCTGTGCATTTACATTTAAAACAATGCTCAAAAACTAATTTTCAATCTGTATTTTCAGACTTTCTGGGGAGAAGAGAAGATACCTGTGGTTTTATCGGTTCTACTGCGATAATGAAAACTCCTCCCTTCCTCTGGTTTTGGGTAGCGCCCCTGGATGGGATGAAGGAACAGTTTCTGAAATGCATGCCATCTTGAGAAGGTGGACATTTTCTCACCCATTGGAAGCACTTGGTCTTTTGACTTCCAGGTAAGACTTAACATAGCAAAATGCATGTTGATATGTGCTAGGGACCACTGGAAAACATATGCAATTAATTACACAGCTATTTGGTTTCCAATTTCAGTAGCTATGGATATTATTTCTGGATAAATGCAAACTGTGCACATAACTTTCAAACACTTTAGTCTTTAATTGTATCTTCACACTAAAGATAAAGCCCAATTAATGGTTGTAGTAACTTAAGTGAGGAGTCCAGTTTCTCTTACAGAAAAACAGTTGGGTATCTGAGGCAGGAGAATTGCTGTCAAGTCAGCGCCAGCCTGGCATGAACAGTGAGGTCTAACCTCATAAATAAAATGCCTGCACCACAGTCTTCGCCTCTACTTCTCACTAAAATATAAAACGAGACAAAGCTCAATCATCACCTGGCGAAATTCTAGTCACTTTTTTGCTGACGACTTAAAACAACAGCACAATTATTCCCCCCATCATCCCCACATTGACTAATGAACAGAAAATTGGTTCAAAGCCTGACAATAGCAACTTACAGAGGAGAAGAAAACATCGACACATCTTCTACTTAGTAAGGTAATTGTATGTGAAATATATGCAGACTAAAAGTAGAGCAACCGAAAAAGGTAAGTAACCCACCTTTAAAATGAGTGACAGATCTGACAAACACATCTTCAAGAAAACTATACAGATATTCAATAAGTACATGAAAAGACACTTAATTTGGTATTATTGGCTATTGGGAAAACACAGAAAGGAAACCAGGAAATCACAGATGCTTCTGTCACCAGAACTGACAATAATCAAAAAGTGTAAAGCATCAAAGAAGATGTAGAGAAAGCAGAACCTCGTTGTGAAGCGGAGATGTGAGACAGGTGTAGACATATGCAGAGCCCAGCTCGACAGTTCTTTACAGGTAAACACTGAAGTACAGTATGACCCAGTAATCCCATTGTTAATTTTATACCCAAGACTAGCAAAACTTACGCCCACTCAAAACCCCTACATAACTATTGAGAGCGTCACAGACCACAAAATACATAAAAATGTACAAGCAACCCAAGTGTCCACCAATAAATAAATGAAAGGTGCTTTGTGTAATGTCATAAGAAAAGAATAATACTAACATAGGTAACAACTTGGGCAAATTTGAAAACAGCATTCTAAATGAAAGAAGCCACCAACCAAAGACCATGAGTTACACCCTCACGTTTGTATGAGCTGTGCAAAATGAACAAATCTAACAAAGGAAGCCCGTCAGTGGTGATGCAGAGTCAGGGCAGGTGTGTGTGTGTGTGTGTGTGTGTGTGTGTGTGTGTGTGTGTGTGTGATCTGAATGCAGTTGTAACTACACAAATTAAATTACATTTAAATTATAGTTTGAAAAACAGTTTTTCAGACCATCATGATGGCTCAGTGTATAAAAATGCTTGCCATCAAATCTGATAAACTGAACAAATTTGACAGCTGGAATCCATGTAAAGGTGGTAGAAGAGGAGTGACTCCTGAAAGTTGTTCTCTGACCTCCATGTGCATGAGGTAGCAGTTACACACAGTCACACCACACACACACACACACACACACACGTATACACACACATAAGTGCACACCACACACACACACACAAGTGCACACACCACACACACAAGTGCACACACACATGTGCACACACACAAACACACATACACACATGTGCACACACACAAACACACAAGTGTACACACAAGTGCACACATATGTGCACACACACAAGTAGACACATACAAGTGCACATACACATGTGCACACACACAAACACACACACAAGTGCACACACAAACACACACACAAGTGCACACACAAGTGCACATACACATGTGCACACACACAAACACACAAATTTTAAAAAATACTTTAAAGAAAAACACAGCTTTAAACTTTCACCAATATAAAATAGGTGTGCTGGCACACACACCTTAGTCCTAGCGCTTGGGAATCTGAAGCAGGAAGATTGCCATCTATGAAAGTCTAGCCTGCAGAGTACTAGGTCAGTCTTAACCTACGTAGAACGACTCTGTTAAAAAATACTTTAACCAGAAATGCTATGGAAGATTTTGGAGTTTGACTTTTGGGATAACTTTCTAAGTCTTCCAAACAGGCTGGTTTCATTAAGAGTCACCTTGGTTTACACACTATCTCATGACTTTAAATGTCACTGCTTTTCAAAAAGTGCATGGGATATTGTCCTAGAGATCTTCTCAGGAAAAAAAATTAGTAATTCTGATTACTGGCTTTAAAATGAGATATTTTACTGGATTGATTTCTATATTCTCTGATGCCTAAAAGTTTATCCTATATCTTCTCTGCCTAAACAGGTCTTGAAAATCTACTTGACTCTAATTTTTAGTGTAGAGACCAAATTTGTAATTTAGTAATCATTAGCATTATCTTCTTCAATGCCCACAATAAGAAGTCTAAGAAGTAAACATTGTTATTTTTCTAATTTTACATGTGTGAACACGGAGGTTCACACCCTATGACCTGGTACACTGAAGGCCTGAGAATTAAATGTAGGCACTGGTACAGAAAGAGCCTGCCCCCTGGACTTCAGCTTTACAGCCTCCTGCTGTATTAATGGCCTTCCTGTTGGACATTCCCAACAAAAAGCAACTTAGGCGAGAAGGACTATTTTGGTTTACAGTTCCAGAGCAACAGAATAGTCATGGGAGGGGAAGGCGAGGCCTGAAGGAATTTGAGTTTGACCTGGCCATTAAGAAGCAGAGAAAGAACAGAAAAGTAAGGGCAGGCTTCAAAGCCTCAAATCCTGCCCACAGTGACTGCCCACAGTAATTAGATTCTGCAACCTCCCAAACAGCACCACCAGCCAAGTGTTAAAATTTGAGCTTTGCTACTTAAAAGCCTATATTGCGGAATAATTAGGCACAGCTGCAGAGTCCTGTGGAGGATGGGGAGTAAGGACTGGAGGAAGCAGAGGGGTCAAGGGTACCACAGGAACATGGCACACAGAATCAACTGACCTGGACCCATGTGGGCTCACAGAGATCAGGGAGCTGCATGGGCCTCATACAGGTCTTCCGCACACAAGTTATGGCTGTGCAGCTTGGTGTTCTTGTGATTTCTAACTGTGGGGTCTGGGGTGTCTCTGACTCTGTTGCCTGCCCTTGGTGTCCTTTTCATCCTACCGGGTCGCCTCGTCCATTCTTGATGTGAAAATGTATGTACCTGGTCTTATTGTAGTTTGTTATGCTGTATTGAGTTGATGACCCTGGGAGACCTGCTCCTTTCTGAGGGGAGGTACAAGAGGGGTGGATCCGGAAGAAAAAACAGTTCAGTGCGGTAGGTGGGTGGGGGAAGGGAGGCGAAACTGCTGTTAGGATGTAATATAAGAGAGAAGAATAAATTAAAAACAAATAATGAAACAAATAAATAAATGAAATATATATATATATATATATATATATATATATATATAGAGAGAGAGAGAGAGAGAGAGAGAGAGAGAGAGAGAGAGGGTTTTTCTGTATTGCTTCGGAGCCTGTTTTGGAACTTGGGCTCTGTATTCCAGGCTGGCCTCGAACTCACAGAGATCCACCTGCCTCTGCCTCTTGAGTGCTGGGACTGGGATTAAAGGAGTGAGCCACCAATATCCCATTGTTAATTTAAAACAAAACAAAACAAAAAAAAAGCCTGTTCTGCTCTTACAGAGGACCTAGCTTTGGTCCTGAATCTCACTACCAGCTGTTTCTCTGGTGCTTTTGGGTCTGAGGAAATCTTTGGGGATCATTTGGAGATATTCAAGTCTCAGTACTGCTTAAACACTCTATCCTTTTCTCTCCCAGTGGTGAAGAGCGAGGGCTATATTATCGCACATAAATGATTTCCGTTCACTCAGCAGTGTTCTCCGGGATCATCAGATTTAATAGTCAGAGATGAGCAGGACGCTGTCAAAGCAGAGACCTGCTTATTAAGCTGCATTCTGGGGTCCTGGGGGATCATGCTCTGACTGCAGGCTTCTGGGCTCCTTATCAGGCACCAGATAACGCCACTGGCAAGGCTGGCGAGTTTCCATTGTGAGCATCCTGCGACTCCCAACTCTCAGTCTAACTGAACTGTTAAAATACTTGAGAACAAGCTGTTTCCAGAGTCGAGCTTATCCGCAACTCTAAATTCAAAAGCGGACTTTTCTGAGAACAGTGTGTGCTCATTACATGAGTTCCTTCTTCGCAGTTCCATTTTCCTCTCTGCCCTTCTCTGAAGCATCTGTGGTGGTGGTTTAACCTCCTGAGAACCGGTTGGCTCTAGTTTGAGTTTGAAAGATTTTAACACCGCTCTTTGTTTGGTTCGGCCCCGAAGACTCTCCTCATCATTTGTGTTTATTCTAAGCAAGCAAGGGATATGCTGATGCTTACTACACCTAGAAAGGGTCGCTGGGTGTTCACATTTCCACCACTGAGTGACAGCAGAGTGCTTGTTGGGTGACCGACCTTCAACTGGGGAAGGAATAAGAGCTAAAACCTGGGCTAGGGCTAGGGCTGGGCTCTGGTTTTCTGAACCCTGATGAGTGAGTGGATAACAGCAAATAAGTTACAGAAGCAATGAAGAGTCGTTTTTAAAGATCAGATTTATTTTTAAAAGGAAATTCAGAGAACTACAACAGAAACTGAAATAAAAGTCTTATAGGGCGCCAAATCCGGTTTCTGGTACACAATGTAAAACGGTTGTTTTTTTAGGAAGAAAAGCAATATTAAATAAGCCATACCTTAGTTTCCTAACCAATTCCCTTGGAAGGAGACATCACCAAAATACGTGCACCAAGTCACTCTCTTGTTTATTGTACAGGTAAATTTCTTCTGAAGTCACTCTTGCCTAGCATTGTAAGTAGGAAGAAGAGAATTCTCAATACTCAGACAATTAAAACTTCCATTTTTTTTAGATGCCTAATTGAGCTATGGGTTGTTGAGCAAACATATGTGCTATGCACTTAATCAAAGAGGAAAAATAAGCCACAGTGAGT